TAGGTATCAGCACAACATGTGAGGCACGCTAGGAAGCTTCAACACAATGGCAAGATCGGCGGCAAGTGTGACAGGAAACCCTAAACCCTAAACCCTAAACCCTTTGCAAAATCTGAGCGGTTGCGAAGTTCGGAACTCCCAATGTAAAGTTTCGAGTTCTTTTCTCATGCAAAGTCAGGAGGCCTGAGTCTACGTCATGTAGACATGGGAAGAATGAGAAGTACACTTGTGGCCTTTTTGGGGTTCTGGGCGCCCTCTTGAATTCCTTCCTTGGGCTGCCTGCAGATTTCTTCTGCCGTGAGCAGATAAGGAAGTGGGCTCGTTGAGAGACAATGTTGACAAGCTGCTCATGTTCATGCACAGGCGCGAAAGGAGTGGGAAACCCAAATCCTAAACCTAAACACTCCTTAAATAAGGAGTATGCCTTCAATTTTTCAGGGGTCCTTAGTCTATTTTAGGTATATTCCTCAGTTAAGGGGTATTGGGCTTGAAGCCCTACCGAAGCACCCCAAAGCTTGTGCCAGAAGCTCCCCAAAAGCCGCAGAACGAAAGCAAAGAAACAAGTGGCACACCCACCCACTTGGAGGTTCAATGGGCAGTCATAAGTAGGGGTTATAAGTACCATCCTTATCACCCTTTTCGGGGTACTTATAACCCTACTTGTACTTCCTTGACAATTGCCTTGTAACTACCTTGAAAATACCTTGTAATTACTTGATGCTTACCTTTGTAATTACCTTTTATGACCTTAGAATTGACCTAAACCCTAAACCCTAAACCCTAAACCCTAAACCCTCAACCCTACTGAACCCCCACCCATGCCAGGCTGGAGGCCAGGCTGCCGCCGCCCCTGGCGACGCCCGGCTCAGGGCGCATGCTGCCGCTGATGGCGCCGGCAGAGGTTGGGTTTGGAGGTATAGGGTTTAGGGTTTAGGGTTTAGGTTTGGGATGTTCCCCCTTGTACTAACAGTCTTTGATAGGGATTGCAAAAAGGGGTACCGTACTCCCTAGTAAGGACCGTTAGTATAAGGGGGAACATCTCAAGGTGCAGGGTTTGGGGTGTGGAGCTTTTGGGTTCTCCTGTTTACTTTGGCTGCTTCGACAGAAGAGGGAGAGGTTTGAGGGTTGGGGAGTTGTTGAGTCGAAGCTTTGTGGGTCTTTGGGATGGCGGACCGTTAGCCAGAGGTGCTGGAAGGCGGCCGCTGGGTGAGTCCACGCAAGTCTGCTGAAACAGGGTTTGGCGTTTGGGGTTTAGGGTCCTGCCCCTGTCTCGTTTCTTGCAGCACGGGGGTCTTGTTGTGAAGGGGTTCAGGATTTAAGGTGTACGAACTTTGCGTGCCGGAGTTTCAGCATCTTGGCATATGTATTGTGGCAGTGGGCGTTTCGAGGATCGGGCCGGGAGGCAAGTGTAGCTCAGTGGCAGTCTCCGGTTCGTTCAAGGCTGCATTGATGGAATGTCGTGGCAGTTTTTCGTGCCTCGTGAATTTATCTATGGATCTGTGATATGATTCGCATTGGCCTGGTGGCTTGCGCAGGACCGGGGGATCTACGACGAGGGCGAGGAGAGCTTTGTCAAGAGCCATCGCGAAATGCCTGCCATGAACCCCTTGGAAACTTGGCGGCGGGGTCTCAGGCACAGTCTGTGCAGTTTGGAAATTGGTGTTGCACTCGCCATCTCTCATCTCCCTCTACAAACCCTAAACCCCGGCAAACCCCCAAACCCATATAAACCCCGAAACCCCTATAAACCCTAAACCCCTCAACCCCTGTAAACCCTCAACCCCTAAACCCCTCAACCCGGCTGAGAGTCGAAACCCCTCAACCCCATCATATCCATGACATGATTCCGAACGAAGATCAATTCGAGAGATGGACGAATTCAATATTATTGTGAATTCGTACCTCGTGACATATTTCTCCCGAATGAATTAGAAGATCTAATTGCAACCAGGTTTTCGTGCGAATGATACCTGTACTCAAGTCTTTTTGAATAGTACTCATCTCACTCATGTAATTAGTGTTCCCGTGACGAGAATCGCATACAATAATGATGCAACTTATATGACATGAATCTTCCATTAAAGGACAAAGCAAGGATACTTCCACATTTTGAATCGCACAATCATGATTTTACGCAGCGAATGATCTTTGAATACAGAAAAGCTAGGATACTTCCACTCGCCTCTTTCATATAGTATTAATTCAAATTCTTGCCGCACTGTGTATTTTGAAAAGTATTTGCCTAGGCTTGGGACAAGCACTACTTTGTCTAGAAACGGAACGAATTACGTGGAAAAAAGAAACATGTTTCTATAAAGTTGCCGTTTTTGTCTAGTTTGCCGAGCACAATCACTATTTGTGCCATAGATATTCTACGCATGAACAAAAGCTAGGATAGTTCGCTCGCCTCTTTCATATAGTGTTTGTTCAATATTTGCCTAGTACAGGCACTCTGCATCTAAAACAGCGCACTAGTTCCCTGGGTTTCGGGCAAGCACTATTTCCCTGCAAGATAAGGGGAGAGAGGGGAGAGAGGGGAGAGAGGGGAGAGAGGAGAGAGAGGAGAGAGAGGAGAGAGAGGAGAGAGAGGAGAGAGAGGAGAGAGAGGAGAGAGAGGAGAGAGAGGAGAGAGAGGAGAGAGAGGAGAGAGAGGAGAGAGAGGAGAGAGAGGAGAGAGAGGAGAGAGAGGAGAGAGAGAAGAGAGAGAGGAGAGAGAGGAGAGAGAGGAGAGAGAGGAGAGAGAGGAGAGAGAGGCGAGAGAGGCGAGAGGGGAGAGAGGGGAGAGAGGGGAGAGAGGCGAGAGAGGCGAGAGAGGCGAGAGAGGAGAGAGAAGACAGGAGAGAGAGAGAGGAGAGATAGAGAGAGGAGAGAGAGAGAGAGAGAGAGAGATGGAGGGAGGAGAGAGGAGAGAGGAGAGAGGAGAGAGGAGAGAGGAGAGATGCATGCGTGCGTTATCTTCGTGCCAGCGAAAAAGAGAACACAATTAGAAAAAAGCTCTATAAGAATACTAAAGTTAGCGGGCTTTTTGTGTGAATTGCAAGAATATCCTGAACGTAGTACGGGCGAACATAAGATCTTTTCACTCGCCCGTAATACTATTTGACTGGATTCTTCATTCTAATTATTCTAATTCTCTTGTTTTGCTTGTTTAACTGAGTTATAAGGGGTGAAGATATGAATGACGCATGAACTCAATTGAACAACAAGCAAAATTAGGAAAGGAATGAAGAAGCCCCCGAATCATAACATTATGAGAAGAAGCGTGCATTCTTTACCTTATTCCGACTAAACCCTATGAGCCAAGCCAAGCTGCGCCAGAAGCCAAGCCGCACCACTAAATGAATACGAACCTCCGCCCTTGTAGGGCTCCTGAGAATGATGTTAAGAAGAAACAGAATGTCCAAGGCATGCCGTTGGCGCTGCTGCTCACGCTGGCGGTGCCTCTTTGCCCTAAACCCTAAAAAGCAAAACTCAACCCTAAACCCTAAACCCTCACTTAGGGAAGGAGGTCTGGGGGTTTAGGGCTTAGGCTTACGGGTTTAGGGTTTTCATTCTTCTACCCACTTGCCCAAAGCCCCCAAAACTCAAAAGCCCACACCCTAAACCCTAAACCCAGCAGTTTTGAGAGTAAACCCTAAACCCTCCTTAACCCCCGCAGCGCCGCCCTTGCCCTGCACAGGCCGAAACTTTCGAGGCAAGAAAAGACGGCACAAAGATGGTGCGTCCAAGTTCTCCATCAAACACAGTATCTCAGGATGTTCAAGGACTTGTGATTTTGCCAGGCCGCGGTCCGTGTGATCCTTGGCGTGCATAGCATCGGAAAATTAGCTGGCGAAGCCCGAGCATCATAAGCATCAGCCGGCAAAGCCCGCGAGCATCAGCTGGCAGTGTGAGCATCAGCCGGCAAAGCCCGCGCAGCGTGAGCATCCGCTGGCAATGCGAGCGTCAGCTGGCAAGGCCCGTCGGCAACCTAGGCCGTCGTGAGCAGCAGCGCCGGCAAAGCCCGCCGTTGTGGGGCTCTGCGTACCATGGCCTTGAAAGCTTCTTCTTGTTGCTGCGCTGCTGGCAGCCGGAGAGGATGTATCTTGGCTCGGAGAGAGAAGCTGTCTGCAAAGTTGCGCATCAGCTAAGGAAAAGACGCGCGGCGTGAGGAGCGAGGCGCAGCTTGGGCTTGCAACCGGCCAGAAGCTTTACACCCTTAATTAAGCAACGAGGGAGAGGGAGAGGGAGAGGGAGAGGGAGAGGGAGGGGGAGGGGGAGGGGGAGGAAAGAGAAAGAGGACAGAGAAAGAGGAAAGAGAGAGAGGAAAGAGAGAGAGGAAAGGAGAGAGAGGAAAGAAGAGAGAGGAAAGGAGAGAGAGGAAAGGAGAAAGAGGAGAGAGCGGAGAGAGGAAAGAGGGGAGAGAGGAGAGGAGAGAGAGGAGAGAGAGGAGAGAGAGAGGAGAGAGAGGAGAGAGGGGAGAGAGGGGAGAGAGGGGAGAGAGGGGAGAGAGGGGAGAGAGGGGAGAGAGGGGAGAGAGAGGAGAGAGAGGAGAGAGGGGAGAGAGAGGGGAGAGAGGAGAGAGAGAAGAGAGAGAGGGGAGAGGGGAGAGAGGAGAAGGAGAGAGGAGAGAGGAGAGAGAGAGGAGAGAGGAGAGAGGAGAGAGGAGAGAGGAGAGAGGAGAGAGGAGAGAGGAGAGATAGCTCGTTGGGGAGCAACTTAGTTGGATGAGTTGGCTTAAGGATGCCTTTTGACAGAGTATGTCAAAATTGCAGCAAAAACTTTCGACCAGAGCCCTCGTTATAGAAGCATCAAGCGTAAAGAGCCAGGGCCTTCACACCTGGACATGTGGCGCCAGAAAAAGCCGCAGACGTGGATAATTATCATGGAGCCGATGTGCACAACCATGATGCACCAATGACATTGTTGCTGCACGCTTCTCTTATTCCTTTCTCTGGTCACACAAGTCTTCCCACTGCTAGCTCGGATCGACCAAGCGTGAGGCTTCTAAGCCTGCGACCTCAAGCTGGACATCTTGAAGCTTGAGCTTCCACGCCTTTCAGGACGTTCCCCAGAAGGAAGTGGCCCGCAAAGGCATAACACGTGAAAATGGCGGAGAAGACCAGGAAGAAGTGTGCCTTCAGTGGGAGGTAGCCCGGCCCGCCATACAAGTGAATTGTCTTGGGTTGGCTTTGGCATGTGTCGTTCAAGGTTGCTTTTGGGACTCCCGATTCCCCTTCTCATTGCTAAGCTTTCGGGTTTCGAATAGAGAAGAGAAACGTAGACAAACTCACAGGAATTGGCTTGCTGGGCTTGACCCGGGAGTGGCAGGGGGGCTCAGATGTCGACATGTCGGAGAAAACGCTTGTTTTGCCATGTCGCCGCAACTTTTGTTGCATGCTCAGTGCATATCACTCACATAACCAAAAGACATGCAGGGAATTGTCTTCCGCTATGTTTTGCTGCATGTGGTGAGCATGTACGAGAACCAATGTCGTTGCTCGCAGCCAGCATTTGGGTGATCATACCCAGAATGAACTCAGCATGTGCAAGTGCTAGACGTCGGCAAGGGAAGCCTGGATCAAGTGCCACTGATGTGCTTCGAGAAAACCTGGCGAGGTTTTTCGAGGCCCGCGGAAACCGAGAAACGGCCCACGCACTCTCAGCTATCCTGGAAGCCGGCAACGCCGAATTGGACAAGCTGGAGTGTTTCTAAAGACTTCCGACTAGTCGAGATAGACCTGCAGGGTTTCTGGTGGCATGCGAAGACCATCTTCTTGAACCTTTCGCAAAATTTACAACGAACCACGAACATCAAGCAAAGGACAGGTGCGTGAAACATCCCCAAAACAGAAAGAGGAATTGAGCAGGAGTTGTCACCACGAACGCAAGGGTGCAAGTCGGCGAGTCCAGGATCTGCCAAGTCAGAAGGACAAAACACCAAAACGGCTGGCAGAAGTCCTATGTAGCCCTTTTTATTGGGGAATTCTCCTTTCCCGTCGCCTTTTTCAGCTTTGCAATTCCAGTTTTCAGCTCTCTTTTCCGGTGGCTTCATTGTCTTGTCGGCGCCACAACCAACTTTACATGAGCACGACAAAAACGAGCTACTGTGACTGCAATGGCCACGCAAAAGCTGGGTTTCAAGAAGCCACAAGAGGGCTCCGACAACATCGGGTGCGTCTGTGCCACCAACGAACCTCTAAGGTGCTCTAAGAATGCCCTAGGTCGTGATCGTGCGGCTTCGGTCTGCAGTCTCAATGGACTTTGCACGGCGTCAGCCTACTGCCCTTGGTCTCTCTAGGCCCTAGACTCGCCAGCGCGTGGCACATCAGACATGTTGGGTCCAGGCACGACATTGGGCGTGCAATGCACCAGCGTCTGAACGACGACATCCAGCCAGGGGTTGGCCTGGCGAGCGAGCAGGGCCTTGCCACTCCTGATATCACAAGGAACCCATTGAACTCATTGAACCACAATGCCTTCAAGCTCAGTGGCTCTGTTAGCCTCAAGCACGTGCAGTCGCTCATATTCAAGTGCGGCAAAGTATCCGAACGACCGGGCCCAGCAACAACTCGCTGCATACAAAAGCTCAGTATTTAATCGAGATCCGGAACGGGGCCTGAAAGGACTTGAAGAAGCGGAAAATTATGACCTGAAGTTTGAGCAGAATCCATGGTGGGTTGCTGCAGAGACGCAAGCTCAGATTACCGGTCCATTCGGGCATGTCTTGAGCAACCATCAGGCGCCATAGCGGCGTAAACCTCGACTGCTAGGATCATTTCGCTGATGACAAGTAGACTGAGTAGACCTGTCGCCCTCGGGACACCATGAAATTCAGCGCGAACAAGTTCCGCATGAGCTCGGAGTCATCGCGGATGGAGTTCCCAACCTTGGAGTTGCAAAGCCAAGCGAAGCATGCGCGAAGCACGAATTCACAAGAATGCACAGCAAATAAACACCTAAACTAGGAGCCATAGATGGGGAATCGGCTCTAGCCTGCCAGGGAAGCTCGTGGACGCATGCCAATTTGTTGAGTTACCACATGCAACTTGTGGGCCAGAGCTCGCAGAAGCCATGAGATCTGTACTTGGGGGTGAGGGCCTGGGACGAAAGCTAGTTAAGGTACCCCCACGGAAGAGCTTCCGTCAACATGGCATCAACTACGCAGAAGGACAAGCACACGCAAAGGCGGCAGGTCGTGTCACCTTTTTTCTGGCGCAGGTGCCAGTATTGACGTGGCATTCCTTCTGGCAATGTGTTGGTGTGTTGCTTTGCTCTGCGGTGTTTTAGCATCTTCCGGAGGGCTCTTTTTTGAAACGCATGACACCACAACAGATGTTGCACTTACCAGGGGAACCTGTCCAATCCAGCTTTGAGGGACGCCTGACTCAAGTCAACATCAAGGCTTCTGAGTCTTTTCTTAGGGGGCTTTTCTGTTAGCATCTTCCGGAGGGCTCTTTTTTGAAGCGCATGACACCACAACAGATGTTGCACTCGCCAGGCGAAGTCTGAAGTCTGTCCAATCCAGCTTTGAGGGACGCCAGACTCAAATCAACATCAAGGTTTCTGAGTCTTTTCTTGACTTGGGGGGCTTTTCTAGGGCCTGGGATCCACAGAAAACGGCGTTCATTTGCACCCAATATACGAAAGAAATGAACGCCAGCCCGTTTCCCCAAAACCTGTGTTCGCCACCCGGAAACCGACAGGGTTTGCTGCGTTTCGTGGCGGAGCCTCCGGGGGCCCTGTATACCCTTCAGGTTGTAAGCTTCGCTTAGGTAAGATACTCCGCTAGCTCCTCAGGGGCTAGCTTTCGTGACTTGTCCGTGCTTGCGGACGGCTCGGCACCAAGTCTCTGTCAGCTCATAAGGGGCACTTTGCCGGTACTGCATGCTTACAACCAGATTGGGGGAAATTGGAAACCGTGCTTGCTCTACTCCAACCACTCCGCCACGAGGAAGCGATGCAAAGGGCTTGGCCCCTTTCGCATTACAGGGCTTGCACTGTTGGCCGTGTTGCTCCGCACAGCATGTACACGCTGCAAAGCAAGAAAGGCTGTTATGACAGAGTACCCTAGGCTGGTCCCCAAAGAGTTTCGGAAACCTCTCCGGGAACCCACACTCAAACCTTCCACACATCCCGACCATTCATGGAAACCGGCAGCTTGTTGCATCTTGCTGCCATTTGCTGCCTAGGCGCAGTCATGATGACATTGAGCCGTTCTTCGATGTCTTCGAGGCTCATGATAGCCTGGCAAAAGGCTTCTTGGAAGGCAGGAAGGGAATGGGTAAGGCCGAGGTCCTTTGATGACCTTTGCCGGGTGCCTGCGGCTGTTGCTTAGTTGCAAGGGCACTCCACCGTCGTCCATGCAGTCTGCTCCATGCAGTAGTTTAGGGACTTCCACACCGCCCATCCAGGACGAGTAGCGTGCCCGCGAACATTGCAGTTCTGGATCATACAAGCTCGTTGCTTATTGTTGGCCTCTGTCCAGGCCTTTTGACACTTGGCTTTCATTTTTCGCACCTGCAATATGTACTGAATATCCAAGAACCGACCACCTCAAAAAAAAGACGTGGCTGCAGAAGATTGGTTCTTGTCCAAATAAAAAATCCCGCAGGTTTCAGAAAGCGGGTCCTCTTAACGAGGTTGGCTTGGTCAACTTCCTGTCAACATCCTTCAGCGTTGGTGAAATTTGCATTCTCGACTTGCCTTTCCTGGCCTGTCTGATGTGTCTGCGCAACCGCCATCATAGAGTCAACAGCCCCGAGCCTGAAGCTCGTCGAAGTTCAAATAGGCCAGGCTAGTTCCAGTCAGGGATCCCTTTTGTTGAAGAGCCTGGTCGAAGGCTCCTCTGACCAGGAGGTTGGGATATCAAGCGAGGGCTTCGTACTGGGGTCTTGGAAAGAAGGGTGGTGTGGACTTTGGAGCCACCAGAAACTCAGTACTGAGGCTCCTCACAACATCTTCATGGGCATGCAAGCAAGCTACCCTGACGGCAGATTCTAGACTCCTTAAGGGAGAGGTCCGTCCTTTCGGCAGCGTGGCCAGAGCTTCTGGCAAGTCCACCGTAATTTTGAAGTAAACTGTTATCCTGACAGCTCTCGCATGTGAATATTGACAGACGCTGTGATGCAGAAGGTATGTCAGGCTGCAATGTTCGAGCGGATACCTTCCCCACTGAGAACATCCATGGCATGACATCCGAACAGAACTATCAGACCAACAAGATCCACCAAGGAGGACTTCACTTCAGCACAAACTGGGGATCCCAGATCACCAAGCCTTTGAAACCAATCAAGAGCACCTCACTAGCACACAGGTTGGGGTTTGTTTGTGAGTGCCGCTGGCCTGCAACCAGTGGGGTTAGCTGAATATCTATTTCTCACTGAAACCCTATGAGAAGTCTGTGAGCGAGGTCTGTGAGATTTCTGTGAAGGTCAGGCACCTGTGAGAATTCTGCGAGCGAGGTCTGTGAGATGTTTGTGAGTGGTCAGGTACTTGCGAGAATTATGTGAGCGGAGCGCTGTGAGATTTCTCAGCAGTCAGGCACTTGTGAGATGTGGGCGCTCTCACAGGATTCTCATAACCCGCTCACAGCCCGCTCATAGAATTCCCACAGCCCGCTCACGGCATTCTCACAACAGGGAGCTTATTGCCCATGGAGGTCCGTGTGGGTATGGATCTGAATCCCATTTAGAATTAGTACTTGAGCGGGCTGTGGGAGTCCTGTGAGAATCCTGTGAGAATCCTGTGAGAACCCTCTGAGAATCCTGCGGGAATCCTGTGAGAGATTTCCAATTACAGAACCACTCACAGAAAACTCACAGATTCCGCTCACAGAACACTCACAGAAAACTCACAGTTTCACCATTCAACATGGTCTCAACTGTTGCAAGACCCGCCACTCACAGGGTTAGTTCAGGCTAGGTTGGTTGGCGCGTGAGTCGACCATGTACTTTGCGTGTCGTCTTTTCTAAATGGACCTCATGAAGAAAAGGGAAACGGAGCGAGAGAGGATGCATACAACAAAACCCTGAAAGCCCATGACCCGAAGCCTGAAGACCCTAAACCCTCTTGTCCAAGACCCCTAGACGAACTCCAAAGCCGCAACCGGAGCTAGAAAAAACAACTGACGGTCTGACCCTGAACACCTATAACCCAGCCCGAGCCCTGCACACACTCACTTCCGGAGCCTTCAAAACCGCAAGACCCAAGCCATAAGCGCGATGTCAAGTCTGTCACGAAATCCACAGCTTCTGGGGCTTAGGGTCTAGGAATCTTGAAGCTCAGGGTTTAGGGTTTTGATGTGTGCAACAATTCGACAGCCTTATGGTTTGTAAGGATACGGCTTTGAGGCTTACGTTTTAGGGCTTTGATGGCAAATTTGGGCTATGGGGCCCCAGGGTTAGACCATGAAGGTTTTGGTATGTCAAGACTGCTTGTATGCAAGGCACCAGAGACCAAAGCAGAAGCTGCTGAAGAAAATCGATATCCATTCCAGAACCTGCGGCCATGTTGGTAAGTGTCGCGGTTGGTCAAAGCAGGACACTACTCTCGATTGTATCTTTACCCATTCTGACTGCAAAAAACCTAGAAGCCGGCGATGGCTGCGAAATGAGGGGTGTGCTGCAGCGGCTTCCGGACAACAGTCATGACAGATGATGACAAAACCAAGCAGGTTCCACATCGGAACCACGAGAAGCCACTGCACTGCGATTCCCTTCGCGCCTTCCAAAAGGTCAAATAATTCATGAAACCGTCAAGGCCAGCCATGATTGCCTAAGCCAAAAAAGACAGAACGGCCTTGAGAATGTTCACAAAGGTTTCAACCCAGCGGACAATGTGACTCAGATTGCAAAGACTTTTGCGGCTCAAGCTCAGGTATCATCTCCTTGACGTTGGTGTAGGCGACCCTGTCGGATGCCAGATTTTTGCAGAGTTGCAAATTTGCAAATCACTTAGACAATTAGACAGCCATCCCTTGTCAACCTGTTGAACATGCTTAAGGCACTGAACGGAATGAAGGCGACCTTGCCAATGCGGCAAAAACGGAAGCCCGCGGAATCCAAAGTGCAAGTAAGCCCAAACCACGGAAAGAGTGTGCACGCACGTATGACAACCCGAACACCCTATTGCAATTTGATCAAAGCAGTCGCAGGAGCCCAAACAGTCCCAAAAAATCCACAAAAAGACTTTGGATGCAAACTCGTGAGAACTCCCGGACTGCGCCAAAACTCTAAGAGCAAGAAAGCAAGAAAGAAAGAAGGAAAGAAGGAAAGAAGGAAACAAACAAAGACAGAAAAGATAGAGAGAGAGGGAGGGAGGGAGGGAGGGAGGGAGGGAGGGAGGGAGGGAGGGGAGGGAGAGGCAGAGAGAGCGAGAGAGAGTTTCTGCGAGATTTTGCGCACTGGGAGCTGAAAAGTGTTTGTTTTGATGCACGAAAAAATTGCACATGACGGGACTCATTAAAAGCTGTGGCCTGTGGCTGATTTTCGGCCCCTTCCCTTTGACATTCTTTGACAGACCAGCCTGAGCGTCAACAAGATGAAGAGGACATCCGGGATGAGATTGGTGACCTGCACATTGGAGACACGAACGCTTTTCGGGGCAGCTGCAAAAGCGGCCCCCAGTGACAATGAACATTTAAAACTACTTGAACCATCGGAAGGTCCAAAGCAGGTAGAGTATTTAGGCCGGAAATTGCAGGCAAGTGGCAGAGAAGTATGGCTCCGCCGAAAAACTCTCGTAGTGCTGCCTGCGTTGACGTCAGCTACATGTAAGGATCCCAAGCTCAGCACAAGATTGTTTTCCTCTTCAAGTTCTCAGCAGAAACCCACCAAGCTGTTTAGCTGCGCAGGTGCGATCATTCTCACGGCAGCTCAGATGGAATTTGACAGATCTTGAGCCTGGACCCGCGTCAGCCCAGGCAAGCAGCACGCATCTATCCGCCTGTGTTTCATCAGCCCGTTTGACTCGAACTCAAACTGGGTGATTTCGAGTGTGAAGAGGTTGACGTTGGCATTGTATAGAAAGACCTGGTACCTTGGTCGCGCGCGGCTCATGGCCAAAAAGCCGGGGGGCCGGGGGGGGCAGCACGTCATTTTTAAACTGACGTGCAAGGTGTCTGGTTGCATACGTTGTTGTGGATCATCGCGCAAATTTTGCCCCTCTTCGGAGTCACTGTACAGCTCTCGCATCCTAAAAATAGACCCTTACTGTACTGTAAGACCACTTCAAGAGCACTCCAAGCACACTCCAATAGCCCCAGACCACTCCAACCAAAGGGCCCAACGCAACGACAAACACCACGAGACGCAAACAAGCAACAGGGAGCGACACAAGCCTCCAAAGTACGTGAGACGTACAAGAAGGCGAGAGCACATTTTAGAGTCACGGGCCACGGAAGGCGCGGCGAAGCTGATTTGGGGCTTGCCACGATGCCAAAACCAAGCTATCTGCGGCCTTTCGGATCCGACGTCTGCGGGCTCTCAAGAGCTCATGGCGCATAGGCGAGAAAGTCATGGGCACGCGGAAACTCCGAAAGGGTCGTCGTTCGTGGTCTACATGAGCATGCCAAGGATCTGGAGACATGACAGCTAGACCACAACAGGTTAAGGTATCACCTATGGACATGCTTTGACGGAAGCCCAAGCAGCTCGAGCATCCGCACTGCCTCATCCAGCCAGGGCATTCGCACCAATGTCTCGAACTGTTCCTGATTTGGCAATTTGGGCGCTCTTTGGTGGGTCTCGTCTCTTGGATTCTGCGCCGTTCCTAATCTCTTCAGACAAACTGTTTGCTTCAATGCACCCTGCAGAGAAAATAATTCGCACCCTTGGAACGACAAAGATTTGAAGACTTGCTGGGCCGATTGTGGGGCTCGAGCGCTCCGCATGATGTGCAGCAGCGTGGCTAAAAGCAGGCTCTGTTCAAGCTGATACCTCAGGGAGAAGCAACAAGAAACTTGACTGCAAGCCGACCGACAGACTAGCATGGGCTAACCACGGCTTGGGGCTTCCCATACACGCACGCACCCACAAGCCTTCCAGTGACTAAGCAACTGTGAGCAACCTCTACTTGCAAGATCATGTATCAGGGGACAAGCAAACCTGCGAACGTGCGCTGCAAGAGAATCTCTCCAGCCTAAGAACCAGGGCATCCGAGGAACGGAAAGACAATATAATCAGTTTTCAACTCGCCAGCAAAGTAGCACTCCCCGGTCCGTGAGTTGAAGATTCTGCCTCAAGGCGAACAAGACAACCTTGAACCGCAAAGCTGCGCAATCCATGCTTCGGCATCGCAATCTCCTGCAGCTCAGACACTGAGAACTTCATTGGTTGGGCAAGGTGAAGGCTCATAATAGCTTTTCGCAAATCGAACTCCGGTGATCATCTGGTTCCTCATTCAGCGAGAACGAAGGTTTGAAGGTGTGTAAAGTGTGGCAATGGTCGCGTAGTCAGTTCGGTTACAGGCTGGCCTTGTGAGATGGGATTGCAGGTATTGTCTTTAATCCTGAAATATCTAAAAAAAAAGTGCAGACGGTAGACGAAAGTTATCCTGAAAAGGTCAAACAAAAAAAGCGTGGCTGCCATCACTTTGCTGTACATTTAGCCGTCAGCGTTTTTTAGGTTTGGCCCGCCGGGATCTGCCAGGCGGAAAATTCCAGGCTTGTACCTAAGAAAAGGTAAACAAAGTTTTCAAAAGGTAACACAAGGTAAGAGCCAAAGCAGGGCTAAAAACACGGCAAAAGACTTTCTGGAGAAACGACCCATGCCCCATGTCACAAGATTTCCAATCTGCAACAGAGGCTTCGGGCTGTGAACGGTGACTCAGCATGCAGCTGCCTATTGAGGCCTCCGGGTGTGCGGGATGCCGGGATGCTAAGATCTGCTTAGTCTCTGATCTGCTAATCGACCAGGCACAGGATCATAAATGGGATCCTTGGCAGGGAAAATCCCGAACTGCCCGCTCTAGCCTCTAGAGACTGCAAAGCAGCACCCAGCAGTTCTCAAGTACCCAAGCTGCTCTGTTGACACACTGCAACAGAAAGTGAAGTAGGCCAATCAATGGAAAAGCCAAGCATCTTGACGAAAAACCGTTGGGAGAAAATGCTGCCTGTAGCTTGGCACCGGACTGACTGAACTCGGAATCTGAAGACTGCTTCCGTCCAGAACAGGCGCTGGTGCCCAGCTATGCCAGCTGAGCCCGATGTTTCGTGCCGACATGGCAGGACCTCCCAGCACTCCCAAGGGCAGCTCAGTCGCCGAGTCCACTGGTTGAGAGTCGGTATCTCGGCCGTGTGAACTTTCGGCAGCTTCAGCTTCTCAAAACATGCTGTTCAGACCATAGGGTGGTGAGGGTGGGGGACACAATTGAAACCCTCCTTTTTGCTTCTGCTCACGTGGCCCGGCTTCACTTTCATCTACAGTGCTTTAGGAAGCCTTAGGGTTCCCCACGCCTTTTCTGGGCTTGGGGGGCTCAGGATTCTCGGGTTGCAAGGTTTGGAGCTTAAGGCCTTGCTTTCTGTTCCTGGTTTCGTGGTTTCGGGCACCACCCTCATGCTCACGATGTGCTGACGTCTAACTTTGACAAGGTCCATGTGTAGCACACGTCCTACAAAATGCGAGAGCCACCGAGTACTGGTTGTCTGCAGCTATGAAACAAGACAGGTTGTCGCCAGTGCTTCGCACCCGACGAAAATCCCTCTTCAAAGCGTTCAACTCCCAAACACTCCGAGCAACACTTGCCAGCCTGAATCTGATGTCAGGCTGCGGCGGGGCCCAGCTTTGTCTAGCACAAAAAGTCGTATAGGTATGTAGACACAACCTATCACATCCTGCAAGACACGGGGCGTCGACGTACTTTCTCTTTATGATCACCGCCAGTGTCGGGAAGCGCTCCTGCAGAAGACCAAAGGGAAAAAGGTCGGATCGACTGCTCGGAAAGGTAAACTTATGGCAAGCTATGTGAGGCTCAGGGCGAGTGAGCGGACGTCAGCGGTCTCTCTTGTGCGGACAAAGGGCCAGCAAAGCATTGTGCACATGCCAACTGTGAAAGAGGTCGATGTGCGTTGTAGCAACCTGTGAAGGCCAAAGGCTCAGCCTAATTGCCCAAACTTCTTAAAATGCAACCGAACCTTGCACTAGCCTGGCACTAGGCTGGCACCCTTTCACTGTAAGAGTCGAAGCTCCTCCCCTCGCCTCAGCAACGCACAACGGTGCAAAGGATTCTCAAGCCATGCTGCCCAGGAGAAGGCGATGAAAGAGCCGATTGTCATCGGCAGGGACCACCTGTGCAGAGGATCTGCGAACATTGAAACTCGAACAGTCGGCCTGCAAGTATAGCCGAGTCACAGTGCTGTGCTCGTCTCGTACTCAAGTTTCATCCTCGGACGCTTGTAGGATCTCTACGAACGGGCCCTTCAACAAGATATGCGTTTCCATGGTAACATCCAGCACAGGTGCTTGGACCAAGAAATCCTTGCGAGCCTAGGTGCCATTCCAGCAGCTTCTCTCGATCCAGCTGATGTGACTTGATCTCTATCTGCACATCGCATTCAAGGTCTGGAGTCTTGTTGTCAGCAGGCCTTCTAAGACTTCGTCAAAGTTCGTCCGAGCGAACCATGGAACTCCGAACGTTCCCGAACAAACTCTGTTACGACCCTGTTAATTCGGAAACTCCAAATGGTCAACTGACAGACAATTCCTGGACCGATCCATGCCACATCCGATCCATACCAACTCTCGGCCCAGGTCCATGTGAATTTTGAGATGTTGAGTCTGGGTTGCGGGTCAGTGGCCTTTTTGAAAGCACTGACCTGGCGCAAGCTCGGTATTGCCTCACATGGCCCCTCCCGCCTCCTTCTTGCGCAAGCCTTCCTTGACCACATTAAAGGCTATGAGGCCTGGCACGCAGCAAACTTTCATGAATCTTGCACCTTTTTGAGTGCAAGCGCTGTGCTCCACTGGCTTGATGGCTCCTCATGGAGCTTGTTGATGTGAGACGTCCACCGACACCTTGTGCCAGATCCCGGCCTTGTGTGATGGCAACGTACAGGTCCTCTGCCTCAGATCTTGCTCAAGGTGATATACAGCCGCTTGGGGAGTCGGCGGCTGTTGCGCAAGTTGTGCAAGTGGTGTTCATTACTACTTCTTCTGTTCGCAAAGCACCCCCTCCAAACAGAGTCTCCTCACCACACTTCCTGAAGGAATAGGTGTTTCGGCTGGATTCACAAGGTTTGTGCTGTTCCTGCTACTTCCACAGCATATCTTCGTGCCAGAAGGGTCAACATACAGCTTACGACTCCCCTCACCTGAGTTTACATTCGTAGCGTCTGCAACGTGTTCATCCTGTCTCCCTTCCCGCTGCTTTAGATGCACTCCCTGGTCCTCCACCGACAATCTTACGAGGCAACAAAAGGCTTGGAAGAAACGCCTCGCCAGGTGACTCTTTGCAAGAGTTTCCCAACGACGACCACCGGATTCCACTCCGAGATCCCTGATCGAACTCGTGTGACCAAATTCATGAGCCGAACTCCCTGTATCGACTCAGTTGCAGGGATGGCAACATTGGCAACCGACCTGCGATGGTTTGTCCGAACTGCACGTGTGGACCCCTGTGGGGCAGAGAGATTGCACGGTGCAGTCTGGAGGATGACTCACCTTCTTCTACTTGTACAACTGCCTAAAATGCCGGGAAAGTGGATCCCTGTACACAGGGCAAATGTTGGAATACAGCGAAAAGCGTGCGTCACAATAAAATCCCCGCGGCAATCTCGAAGGCCCTGACGGCCGCAATGTCTGTGCAGCCCAGGAGGGTTGTTAAAGGCAAGGCAAGAGGGGGTAAAAAAGAACTGGCGATGGCCTCGGTGGAGAAGCAGGCGGTCACAACAGTGCAGCTTCATCTCTCAGCTGCGATGTCTCAATAACAAAACACGACCGAGAGGTACTACAAGCAGTCATGGATTTCATAGGTGTGTCACCACTGAGAGGTTCACTCACAAAGTTCGAGCAAATCAGGCCGAACAAGACTGAAGAAGCGATACCAAAAAGATCCAAAGCGACCTTTCACAGGGCTTGTTCGTTGCGATTCGAATCCGTAGCGGGCTATGGTGTCCTTTCAGCCTTGCCGCTGGGAGCTGGAACAAGATTCATGAGTCTGCATGCGTCTTCCGTCATCTCCAACTCCGAGTCCAGGTTTTTGTTCCCTCTGTTTTCAAGGGATTTCAAGCACTCGGCGCTTTCAAAAACAAAGACGGAATTTATGAAGAGATCCAATAGGACAAGGAACGGAACAGAGGCAGCGAATGTGTCGCACCCAAAAGGTAGCACATTCTGATGACATGCTTCACCGTTCCCATTCCGACCAGGGGATGGAGTTCCGGTGTAGAGATCGCGAAAAACTGATGAGAGGAGATTCTGAGCCGAGTTACTGTACAATAGCCATTGCCATCGCGGTCTGCATCCTTGGCCAAAGCCTGGCCGAAAGGACGAGGTTTCAGCGGTACATCTTCCAATCCTTTCTGCAACATCAGCATCTCATGGGATGACAACAGAGTGAGGAAGAGCATCGCTGCATGTCGCTGCAATCTGCGCCTTCAGCTCGGACTCGGTCAGCTTTACCACGTCCACGGCCTGCAGAGTCATCAAGTCCTGATGCTCACGGGGAACAATAGTGAGTATCATGTCGTGCTCACAAGTCCAGCGGCATCGCCCTGTTGCCATCTGTAGGCTGAGGGCACACCGGAGGGCGCACATGGGCACCGCACGTACCACACAAATTTACACGTTGCACATGGGTGCACCACTCCAATCCACTCCTTTCAGGCTGAAAACTGACAAGCGACTGTTGTTTGGATGGTTCCTTTTCGACGATCATCCAGGACACGGAACAGCTCCAGCACATCTCTCCGCGTCACCTGGGTCACGAATTCTCAGGAAAGCCGAAGCAAGCAGTCACTCAGTCCCAACCCTCCATGCCAGAACAAACGTACCCGGAAAACAAGAGATTTGGGAAGGTGCAAAGACAGAGCCTTCCAGCTATGGCAAAGGACGGAACAATGCGTGCGGCTTTCCGGCAACTGTTGTTGAAGGCAAAGCGTGGCAACACTACCATGCGGCCAGATGCGACCCAAAGACAAGATCGATAACTTAAATGAATCGAAAAATAGCTCTGTGAATCCCCAGCTACTGTCTTCAATTCGACCAGTAGTTGTAGATACTTGCATACATCTATGTACAGCTGTTGATGTTTGTGTACTGCACAAGGCTGGGAGTTCTTCGCGAGAAAGTTGCACACGCTTCTGAACCTGTCTGAGCTTGTATGTTGCACGCACCTGCCACCGTGACTCATCGACCCATTCAAATGGCCCAACCAAAACCTCTCTGGACAAGCATAGCAAGTGGCCAAGTGGATGTCACCTTCGGCAATCTTTGGCCAGATGCCCAACTCGCGCAGGCTGTCGATCCTGAGCTGGTGCTGTCCTACACGAAGCCGCACAGAACATGTTGAACCGGCAGAGATGTGCCAGAAGGTTGAAAAGGTTGAAGTTCAAGGACTCCGCAGATCTGACAGCTTACATTGTAGAGACCTCTGCACAATCAGGACGGATGTTTGGATGGAGAGACGCATGCGAAGTCCTACTGTTTGCTCATCCCCACGTGCGATGCGAACCATCGCCAATGCCAATATTTGCTAACAACCCTTGGGGCACGGGCACGGGTCCATGGTACTTGGGAGGCATGTTCCGGCACAACATGAAAAGGCACAAGACCGCCTTTGCAGGCGCTTTATGAAACGGTACTCCATGTGACAAAGGCACAATGCTGAATTTCAAATCCCAAGTGCACACAGCTTCGACACAAGCAGTCGGGAATGTGAAGTTTGTGCGTGCCCTGCATGTGCCTGCGGGCTGGGCAACGGAGGTCCCGCCAATGTGCGCGGCGACCAGCGCGACCGGCACCCTCTTCCATGAACATGTTGCAGCAACCTGCACCCTCAATCGGCCAACAGCCGACAGCATAGGCCACCGTTCAAATCTGGACTCCCCGTATCCAACCTGAACATAACATGACATGACCCTTCACTTTTCCTTGTGTGTGTGCGTGTGCATCCAATGTGCTGCGACACAACTGGCGAATGAGCCAGACAGGAAGCGCACATGCTTTCAGCGCGCCACTACGTCGTCTCTCTTCGGACATGGTGCCGAGTCTAAGCCAAACAGGCATGCCAAGGATCTTGCCACCCACGTCCACATCATCCCCCATGGTGCCTGAGCAATGTGAGGCAGACATGCAGCGAAACTTGCTGCGCTCAATTTGGAAGGGGGAAAGGAGGCGAATCAGAACAGCAAGCACTTCCTCAAGTGTGAACTCTGGCATCCCACCAAGGTGTTGCTGGTCCTGAGATCCGTTCGCTCATGTTCTCCCATGTTCTCCCATGTTCTCCCAGTTTGCTACAAAAACGGTGCCTTATGGTGCCTCTTGCCCTCATCGGAGAGCTCTGCATTCCCGTACTGCGTTTACAGGGTTTGGCAGGCCTACAAAAGCCGGCGTCCGGACTTTCATATTTGAGAGCCGAAAACCCCCAAAGCAGCTTCGTGATGTACACCTCTGATCCAACGTGCACGAACTCGTTTTCTTTCTTCCCAGTGCTGCGCAGCGTGAAGCCTGGAAGTCCTCACAGGGTCCCAAAGCCAATCCTCACAGTAATGGTTGGCGCGGTGCTTGAGCGGAGGCAGCAGGCAGTAGCAATAAGAGACGACTAGTTTTAGCTCGCCTTTCGTGCAAAAGTATGTGGGGCTCAGGCCTGAACTCGAAGACAACTCAGGTGCATGCAGACGATTGGATATTTCATAGCTAGTTCGAATGCGGGGGGTTGGCTTAACGTCGAACATGCGTCCTGAAATCACATCCGAGTAGCCCTCGTTGCGAGTCGTGTTGTTGCCAAGATGCTCAGGAAGTCACAACACCGGCGTTGCACAGAGAACCGCCATGCTGAATCATAATAGAAATGTCTTGGATTGACGCTGGGCTTCACCTCTCTAAGCAGGCGACTGATGCACATGTCAACCTCCTGATGCACATGTCAACCTCCTGCCTTTTAACCGATTGGACCTGCTTTGCCGCGAATGTGGGGCTGATTCAACAAACCACACGAAAACTACTGCTGCTGGGGCTGCTACTGCCAATGCTGCTACTGCTGGTACTGCTTACGCTACTACTGCTACGACTGCTACGACTGCTACGACGGCTACTACTGCTACTACTGCTACGACTGCTACGACTGCTACGACTGCTACTGCTACTACTGCTACTACTGCTACTACTGCTACTACTGCCACTACTGCTTCTACTGCTACTGCTGCTACTCCTGCTACTCCTGCTACTCCTGCTGCTACTGCTACTAGTGCTACTACTGCTACTGCTGCTACTACTGCTACTACTGCTACTAGTACTACTAGTACTACTCGCTACTACTACTACTACTACGACGACGACGACGACTACTACGACGACGACGACGACGACGACGACGACGACTACTACTACTACTACTACTACTACTAGTACTACTAGTACTACTAGTACCATTCGTACTACTAGTTCTTCTAGTACCACTAGTACTACTAGTACTACTAGTACTACTAGTACTACTCGTACTACCAGTACTACTAGTACTACTAGTACTACTAGTACTACTAGCACTACTAGTACTACTAGTACTACTACTACTACTACTACTACTACTACTACTACTACTACTACTACTACTACTACTACTACTACTACTACTACTACTACTACTACTACTACTACTACTACTACTACTACTACTACTACTACTACTACTACTACTACTACTACTACTACTACTACTACTACTACTACTACTACTACTGCTACTACTACTACTACTACTACTACTACTACTACTACTACTCCTACTACTACTAGTACTAGTAGTACTACCTAGTACTACTAGTACTACTAGTACTACTAGTACTACTAGTACTACTAGTACTCCTAGTACTGCTAGTACTGCTAGTACTATACTAGTACTACTAGTACTACTAGTACTACTAGTACTACTACTACTAGTACTACTACTCCTACTACTACTACTACTACTACTACTACTACTACTACTACTACTACTACTACTACTACTACTACTACTACTACTACTACTACTACTACTACTACTCGACGACGACTACGACTACGACTACCACTACGACTACGACTACGACTACGACTACTCGACTGCCACTTCTGCTTCTACTACTTCTACTGCTACTACTACTACTACTACTACTACTGCTACTACTACTACTACTACTACTACTACTACTACTACTACTACTACTACTACGATGACGGCGGCGACGACGACGACGGCGGCGACGACGACTACTGATACTACTGTTACTGCTACTGCTGCTACTGATACTGCTACTGCTACTGCTAACCGCCAACCGCTAACCGTTAACCGCTAACTGCCAACCGCTAACTGATGACTGCCACATGCTAACTGCTGCTGCTACTGATGTTTCCTTGCTCCATGATCATCAGAGAGATAGGCTTGGGCACTTCTGCCTGCGTCACAGGTATACAGCCCAAGCTTTGAAGATAGCAGGACATAGAAATTCAAGGTCACGCAACTCTCGTCTTTTGAACCTCTTCTTTGCGCCAGCCTTCTGTCTGACCTGGAGGTCTAACAAATATCTGGTAGCATGCCTCTGCCACTACGCGGCAAAGACAGCGCATGCAGTTCGAATTCGGCAAGCTGCGCAACGCAACGATTCAAAGGGGAAGATGACGGATGTTTTGGCATGAGCATACGTGGTGTTCACATTTTTGAGGCCACTGGCATCCATCGGCGGCATTATGTGCATGGGATGCTCACTGGAGTCCACGTAAGTTCCCATCCTATGTACATAGCACAGCGATTCAAGTCATACTGACGGATTGCCTTGGTCGCCCACATTGCCTATCGATGTTCTTCGGAAAGGTCGCTGCTCTCGCTGCTGAAGTTGCTCCGTGAAGTACCTCGCATATGTTGATGGTTGGGTCGTTGTTGCTATGCAGTTCTCTTAAGATGACAAAGCTCAACAACTTGGGGCGTTGTTGCGTGCGAAGTCCTCTGTGCCAAAGGAGGCCGTTGCGATGCTGAGGATCCATGGTTGGGCATCAGGTTTACCAAGGAAATCTTGCTTTCAGGCATTCAGATGTCTGAAAATGGCGGGCAATGAGCCCGAGAACACAACGAACACATCAAGAGCCCACATTGAAGCCCCTCAACGTTCCTATTGCTCCTGCAAAGGTGCCAGTGAAGCTTCTTGCTTGGCTGACCTGGGCTCGCAGGAGCTGCATGAGTGACTGAAGTGAAGCGGTGTTAGAGGAGCGACAGAAGCGGGCGAGGAGGGGAGCGCCGGACAGCAAGCCAACAAACTTATGTTACTTTCAAACTTGTATTCATCATCCTCGCCTCACTCTTATGCTTCTATTCCTGCATGCAACGGGTCAAACCCGAACTTCCGCACTACCAAACATGCAAGGTAGGTGTTCGTGTTGAGGGTTGAGGAGTATTCCTTGTAAGGCCCGACCTTGAAGTGCCAGAGGGCTCCGGAATTCATTTTGTGTTTCTTTGCTTGGGGGTGGGTTGCTTTTTGCGACGACGACGACGACGACGACGACGGCTACTAAAATTAGAAAACCAACAACCAAAACTGTAGTACTCTCGGAAATCCTTAACAACCCCACGTGTCAAAAGAACAAACGCCCCGAACAACTTTGCAACCACCACAATTCTAGGCCCATGTAACAGACGACAATGAAGCCTAAAAGAGGCACAAAATAGCACAACAGCAGTGCTCCGCATGAGTCTCTGCAAAGGCACCGAACGGCTGAGAGCTTTGGGGTCGCCGATGTTTGCTTTCTCCGCGTTGGCTTGGATGAAAAAGTGGTCCTGACCACACACACTTGGCCCCTAGGGCCTGCAGGGCTCACGCGTCCGCATGTCCAAGGTGCGCACGGCACTTTTCCGCGTCCAGCTGCGCACCGGGTCGCGTTTAGTACGCACAGGCCAACATTTTCCCTTTCCAGCTTCCCAGCCCACATCTCTCCTAAGGGTTTAGGGTCTGCCATTTGCTTTCAGGCCTCAAAGCTTCCCGCCCAACATCTCCTTTTCGGGTTACGGGTTTGCCAGCAAACATCTCCTTGTGGAGTTGAGATCTTTGCTTTTCGGGTTTAGGGTTGGGCTTCCCACCCTTTAGGGCTTGGGGCTTCCCACCCAACAGCTCCCTTTGGGGCCCAACATCTCCGAGAGCTATCAGGGCGTCTATTGAGCCGATGATCTCTCGTGAGCCTTGTGCTTTCGACATTGTGTGAAAACCTCGAAGCCTTCGGCTCTGCGATGTTGGGTGCCGCTCAGACCTTCCCCGCTAAGGCCCCACCACCGAAAACCTCCCAACCCCAAAACATGCGCAGGCGCAGGTTTCCGGAACCCCGCATTGAGCCCGGACACAAACCCCGCGTGCACCGTCAACACAAACCCCGCGTGCACCTTGAACCTGGCGACCCTTTGCTCCGAACGCTCCGAAGTTGGAGTCTAGTCCAGCTGAGGGCACATTAAAACTCTTCTGTCCTGTTGAGGTATGCCAAGTATGCCAACATGCGAGTATTTGCAAAGGCTCATGTTAGTCGTTCGGTGGTTCTTGAACTTGCTGGGTCTGGCAAATGCATTTTCCTGCCCCACTACTCCCCAAGGACGCCAAGGTGCCATATGCATGAGGGCAAGCGGTACGTTGACTTTGGCCTGGCTATTTTCAAAGCAGAGTGATTGGAAATAGTAGCGTGTTTCTGCCAAGCATTACTACTCAGTTCTACGAAGCCAAAAAAGGAGGCGCTGCCGAAAGCTGCCCAAGTTGCACGCATGTGAGTGGCGACTTTTGCCACATCTTCGTGGATGCTCGCCAACTGGTTCTGAAGCATGGACATGTGATCCTTTGTCGTCACCACATCTTGTCCAGTGGGCAAGTGCTGGTGCAGACATACAGAGGCAGGTTGAGTTTGCAACGGGCAAGTCGGCATGCAAACACAAAATCGTCATTGGCGAAACTATTGCTCACAGTGCGCTTGAAGCTTGCAACATGTGCCAAATCGAAGCTCACACCCGTTGAAACACTGGCAATGACTTCTCCCTCCAATTGGTGCAAGTGCTGGCCTCAGCACTTCTATGCACAGTCTGCGAAAGATCTTACCTCCTGCCAAGTATCTGCCTTGTCACAAGACGTCGGGCTGCTGTCCTTCTGCAGAATGCTGAAGACAAGCATTGACTGCGTTGCATGTGATTGCGGTTCACTGTCAATGGAAGTCAAGCCAACTGCAAGACCTGATCTGCCTTTTCAGAAGAAGATGTCCTCCTGCTGAATTGTCCGCACTTTCTCGGCCACGACCTGTCCAATCAATGTTGTCATCCACACAGAGCTTGCAATGAGTAGGGTGTGGGGAGGTGCCGTATTGGAACAAGTTTTGTTTCGCCAAGGTTGTTCTCAGCGTTTGTGCAAGTTAGGGCAGCTGAATGCCTTGACGTTGTGAGCATGCGGCCCATTGCCTCTACACCGTGGTAGCACGTCTTGCAATCCATGGGCCCTAAACAAGTACACTTTTCAAATGATTTGCAGCTTGACAGGGAGGACCTGGAGTTTCTCTGGCATGCCCCGAAGCTGCGTCGGGTCCACGCCCTTCAGGCACTCTCCAAGCTTGCCAATGCTGATCCTTGCTTCAGAGCTCAGACGCTCAGACGCTCAGGCGCTCTGCATCTGCGGCTTTTTGCAAGCAAGTCGAGCAGCTTGCATGGCAAAACCCTCAGAAGGCTGGGAGAGGACAAGACGGCCCCTTGTGCATGAAAGGTAGCCCTTCAATAAACTCTGCTACTAGACACAGCAAATGGACACAACAAAATGTGCCGGGAACAGTATCAATACTGAAGTTGACCCTGAACCTATCCGCCGACCCCAGCCGGGGGCGGCGTCAGTGAAGACCCAATGCTCCCCTACCCCACCCCCCCCATGGACTGGCCCCATTAAAGCATGCCCGCTTCGTTGGCCCCTAGTGGCTCATGGCCCCATCATGGTCCCCTGATCAGATGATTTAAAGGGCTCCAATCCTCTCTTGCTCCGCTTGCCCCACCCCCCCCAACCCCCCCCCAACCCCCCACCCCCCCACCCCGCTACCCCGCCACCCCCCACCCCCCCTGTGGCCCAGCCCCCCCCCACCCCTCCACCCACCCCCCCTTCCATGCCCTTGAACCTAAGCTGAGTTTTAAGTGCTCCACCGAGCCCCCCCCCTTTGAGTTTTAAGGGCTCCAATACCCCCGCCAACCCCCCCCAGCCCCCCCCCCCCTAACCCAAACCCTAAACCTCAAACCCTAAACCTCTGTGGCCCAGCCCCCCCCCCCCTTCCATGCCCTTGAACCTAAGCTGAGTCTTACTCCACCGCCCAAGTCCCAGCCCCCCCCCCTGAGTTTTCAGGGCTCCAATGCCACCCCCGCCTCCCACCCCCCCCAACCCCGTCCCCACCTACTCCCCCACCCGCCCAAGTCCCGCCCACCCCCCCACCCGCCCAGCCTCCCCTACCCCCCCCATCCCGTCCCCACCAACCCCCCCACCTCCCCCCCCCCACCCCAACCCCGTGTGCCGCGCAGCCTCCCCTACCCCTCTGTGGCCCCCGCCCCCCCACCCCCACCCCGTCCCTACCTACCCCCCCGCTCAAAGCTGAGTTTTAAGGGCGCCACGCCCCCTCCGCTTTCCCCGCCCGCTCCGCGCCCAAGCCTTGCCCACCCACCCCCCCCCAGCCCCTCACCACCGCATCCCAGCCCACCCCCCCAACCCCCCCACCGCCCACCCCCTGTGCCCCCCCACCCTTACCCCCACCTACCCCCCCCCCAACCTCCCCAGTCCCCCCCCAACCCCGTCCCCACCTGCCCCGTCCCGCCCCCCCCCCCCCCCCAGCCTTCCCCCCACCCCCCCCCCCCCATCCCACCTACCCTCCATGCCCTTGAAGGCATGCCCACGCCCCCCTCCGTTTTCCCCCCCCCCCGCAAGCCCCCCCACCCCGCCCCCCAACCCATCACCCCTTCTGGCCCCCAACCCCCATGATCCCCATGGACTGGCCCCATTAGATGATTTAAAGGGCTCCAGTGTGCCCCAGCCCCCTGTGCCCCATGCCCTTGAAGCTAATTCTTAAGGGCTCCAGTACATGCCCGCGCCCCCTCCGTTTTCCCCCGCCGCTCCGCCCCCCCCCACCCCGCCCCCCCCCCCCCCCACCCCCCACCCCCCCCCCCCCCCCCCCCCCCCCCCCCCCCCCCCACCCCCCCCCCCCCCCCCCCCCCCACCCCCTCCCCACCCCCCCCCACCCCAAAGCACATCAGAGGACTGTCTTGTTGGGTCTGGGGTCGGCGGCACTGGCGGTAGCCATTAAATCGGGCAGCGCGAGGTCCCCAAAGGACCGAGCAAATGCGGACCTTTTAGCCCGGGTCGTCCCGGGAATAGCCTTGCTGGCCTCTGGCCTTCTGCGAAGCAGAATTAGGCCGGACGCCAGTGCCGCCGACCCCCGCGTGCCGCCGGTGAACGGTTTTTTTTTCGTGGTTTTTTGCGTCGCCACGGAGGCCCCCAGAGGGCGCGCATCATGAGCATCAGCGGGTCCAGCCCGGGACCCCCAGGCGCGCATCAGGAGCATCAGCGGCTCCCGGGGCGGGACCGCGGGGGGGCATCAGGAGCATGATGCCCCCCAAAGGGCGGGCATAAGCGACGTGTCTAAGCCCGGGGCTAGGAAAAAGGGAGTTTAGGGGCCTTATGAAGTGCTTAGAAACTTTAAGGGAGTCTAGGAGCCTCAAACGCTTAGAGATTTGAAGGGAGTTTAGGGGCCTGAAAATGCTTGGAAACTTTGAGGGGGTTGAGGAGCCTCAAACGCTTAGAGATTAGGGGCCTCAAAATGCTTAGAAACTGCTCGCCCCGCGCTTCTGCCTGCGCTGCCCGCCCATGGGCGCAGCCCCTTAAAATATAAGCCTGAGCAGTCAAATCCTGAAACGACCCCAAGGTGCAAAACTCAAGAACACGAACATGTCATGCGGAAGCTCCCCTTCTCCCCCCACCCCTTCTCCCCCCCCCTCTACCCCCCCTCTCCCCCCCCTCTCTCCCCCCCGCCCAGTAGTGAAAACTTGAAGATGGCAACCTGATTTTAAGGTTTTGTGTCAACTGTGTAATTTACATTAGGCCATCCCTGCGTTGCCGGGCGTTGCCGGACGTTGCCGGGCATTGCCCCCGTGCTGACTTCCCGAGGTCAGCTACACTTGTTCGGGCATTTTTGGTCCCGATTGCCTCCATAGATGTTAGACGAGAGAGACTAGACAAGCGAACATGTGGGTAAACGGCTCTAAACCGAGGATGGCGTAGTGCTTTGTCGGCACTGCACTCCCTGGCTCAGTGCCACCCAGCGTTTAAACCTGGAATTGCCTCGGGCCGAGGCGGCCGCGTAGCGATAATTTTGTCCATGCCCAAGGGATCACCACGTCAGCACACAATGCTGGCCAGGCAGCTCGATCTTCTCGCAGCGATCAGTGAGGACGACCGTCTTTTGCCGCCCCCAAGCATCCTCCAAGGACAGGGGCGTACCGGCACATTTTGTCAAAAATGCTTGGCTGCTGCACAATAAGCATGATCATGTAGACGTGCGCACTGGTTGACGCGTGGCGATGTTTTTACACCTTTGCAAGCTGGACTTTCCTCGGCTCCAGCATTCCCTTTGCTGTTTTGTCATGCTACTTTCAGAAAATTCGAAGGCATCCCATTGCTGACGTTATCTGTTTTCATAGGAATACCAAGAAGCACATGCACTATGAGCAGCAGTCGAAACGATGCGAATCTTGATTACTCCAAACGTTTGGATTTGAGGCCGCTTCATATCGAGTTCTGCAGTATACATGTGGTCCTAAACATCTGTCACGTCTTCTTTGACAATGAACATGCAGGGCGCGCGATTCCACTTGTGCACTAACCATGGCCAGCTCTCCGCACAGTGGCTGTTCGGAAAGCTAGAGCCACACCCTTGCCAGAACGACTAGATCAGGAAGAACTAGGCTCCTTCATTCCCCAAGCCGGAACCGCATAAACGTGAAGGCCTTCGAGGACAGCGGGGTCAACAAAAGACACGCCCAGGGGTAGTAGCTTCCCGGGAGCATCGACCTCAATGCTAGAGGGAGCTATCCTACCCAGCAAACAGCTCCCCCCCAACTTCCCAGGTCCAGGTCCTTCTCTTGGATGGCGTCTTGTCGATTCTCGATTGTCTCGGCAATAAAACCGGTTAGCCTGTGCTGCTCCTCCGAGGTGTCGAACTACCAACATCACGCGGCGTACAATGAATTCTGCTAGCAGATCAAATTCGGGCAACAGTAGGTATGAAACAATGCAAAGGCTGCTTACAGAGTTCCTTTCCAACATTTGGAAAACGTCCTTGCCCTTCTTGACCAGCTCCGATGTCAGGGCCCGCATGTTTTCAAGCAGCAGCTCTTCACGGGACTGCGACGTGTCAGGAGAGGGAACGGGGTTGGACAGGACAGACATGCAGTAGACACATCTTGTCATGCGTCCACTGAGTCCATCTGGAAACAGAACGAGCCCTTGAACAGCAGTTCCAACATTGTGAGTCTAAGATCCAACCACTATACCTCTGTTGGAGTCGACTGGGCTACTGCAAGGAACCCCAGCCCTATAAAATTCAGCCCATCCCCTTGCGACATGTCAACACGACAACGGCAACATGCACTTCCCGGAGGTTGCGGCGGGCTCAGGATGTCTGGAGCTGGGGCTTGGGCTGCACTCCGCCCACTTTAGCCCACTTCAGCCCAAGACATCCCAAAACCATTTCCATGCCCCAGGAAAGCCCCAATCCCAAAGTCCATGTGTTTCGGGTGGGCCGTCTATCCCAACATCTGGTTTTCAACCAAAGAACAGGTGCTATCTCCTCCTCCTCCTCCTCCTCCTCCTCCTCCTCCTCCTCCTCCTCCTCCTCCTCCTCCTCCTCCTCCTCCTCCTCCTCCTCCTCCTCCTCTCCTCATCCTCCTTCGCCTCCTCCACCTCCTCCTCCTTCGCCTCCTCCTCTCCTCCTCCTCCTCTCCTCCTCCTCCTCCTCCTCATCCTCCTCCTCCTCCTCCTCCTCCTCCTCCTCCTCCTCCTCCTTCGCCTCCTCCACCTCCCCCTCCTCCTCCTCCTCCTCCTAATGCTTCGAAGAAATCACAATACAAGCCACAGGTGCAGGCCATAGCCTTGCTAACGGCAAGGGGGGCGGCCATCATCGTCCCCACAGGCGATGGACAGCAAATTTCCGGGGGCAAGACGATGTCAGTTTGACTTCGCCATGCATTGAACGATTCTCGAAATCCATTTCGGCAGAACACAGTAAGTACAAAAACGGCTTCAAGCACCTTACTTGCGCTTACCCTGGAAGATCCCTGGAACCGAAGGGCGAGGGTACGAAGTCGGGCCAAGTGCACAACAGTGCAAAGCACAACAGCTCAGCAGGCCTGTTGATAACTGCCTACGGCTTTGCGTGACTCTGGCCCCGGCCTTCTTGTCTCTGTGAGAGGCTGCTGAGGTTGTTGGCCTTGCGTTGGAGAATGACACCGCGGCGCGGCCAGACGAAAGAGGTTACTGCCCACAATTCTTGCAGCTTGCACAGCTAGCAGCTTGGGCAGAACCTCCCACTGACTCCAAACCCGAACACCTCACACAGCCTTGGCTAGTCCTCTCGTGCCTGTTCGTGCTCTCAAGTGCATCTAGAACTCCCGGCTGCTTCAAGTCCTGGGATGGCAAGAGTGCTGACAGAAAAATCTCTTCCCCACTAATGACTAATGATACAACCCCGCTTCCCCCCTTCCTCCCCCCCTTCCTTCCCCGTGCCCTAAACTCCTAAGCCAATACAGATCCCAGCGAACCTCACTGTCAAGAAGCTTTGGATTAGGTTGCTAGGGAGGAGATTCTATGAAATACGTTGACTTCCATACTCCTTCTGAACGGATAAAGACACGAAGTCACAATGAATGATGGCGGTTGGCCTTACAAAGCCGAACTCCTCATAGAACCGAGATTTCCCATGTCTTTCCAGCATTTTCAAGGCATTTGCAAGGGATTCACGGGATTGATTTCGGGAATTTTGGCCGATGCACCGACTGCGCGACACGATGGCCTTGAGGGGTCGCTCCGGGAGTCGTTCCACCAAGCCTCAGTAATCCATATCTGTGGATCTGTGGCGCCGTAAAGTTGACCTGTACATCAGCACATTGCTTCAGCGCAGACCCAAATAGTGAGAGACCATGTGAGAAAAAGCGACGAAAGTTTCGCCTCCGGCAAACGCAGACGTCCAGAAGTGACGATTGTTTGGCATTTGGCGAACATGAATATCAAAAGCAATGACAGTTTCGAGACGGCGAACGCGGCCACGCCTGCACCTAGGCGAGAGCGTCAGAGCGTCAGTCCAAAATGCGAAGAAAACCAAGAAAAAAACACGCGGCTCCGGACCGGGCGTGCCGCGCTTCTTCATCGACCTCGCCCTGCTTACTCTTGGCGTTGGAACTTCTTAGTGTCGACTCTCTGGAGAATTTACCGATACAGGAACGGCAGCAAAAATGGCCGAAAATCCTGCGTCATACAGGTTGGGAACCCCGTGGAAATGCTGCTCCTTGCATCAGCAGTAGATACCCGCGGTCCTTTCTCATGTCCATGACCCAGGTGCCAGCAATGTGCCAGCATGCGTCGCAACCGCAGTGCAAGTCTCAAGGCGAACATGACAAGCCCACAACTTTTCCTGCAAGTAGTTTTGCTTGCTGCATCGAAGTGCGCAATGACGCCGAGACACGCCTTCAGCCAATCCTCTTGAGGGCTTTCTGCGTGCTTCAAGTGAAACTTCCGCAGCATTTCGCTGACCTGGCGCTCGACATCCAGCTTGTCTGAGAACCTAGCCTACGTCACGCAAAGCTTCCGCAAAACTCATTGCAAGAGCCTCGGCTCATCGAATCCATGCTACCGAACACACAACAAACTACACAGAACCTTTGAAGAGCCTTCAGAGCTCTTCAAGAAAAATCACCTACCGCGGGAGATCGGAAATGTTAAAAACACATGTCAAGACGTGCCTGCTCGGACAATGCAAGCAGCTTGTTTGCATTGGTCCTGGCGCGTAACAATACACAAAGCCCTTCAGAAGTTTGACGAGCTACACACTTCGGAAAGAACCACGCGGCGTGGAGTTCAATCCGTCCTTGTCTGGCCAATCATCCGAACTCCATCCGAAACAGACAGATTGATCTTCTTCGCCTCTCACGTATTGGACACAAGAGCAGACGTGAAATCAGACACTGCAACGGAATCGATGGAATTCAGGACACCAAACATCACATCAACGCTAGAATCACTAGAAAGTACAGGCGCACATCAAGAGCGATGCCGACACTTTGGGATATTCGTATGGACCCACCCAACCGAGAAGCGTCTTGAAGCGTTTGGAGCAAGACCAAAACGTGGGCTGCTTCCCCCCCTTCCGACCACGTCCCGCCGACCCCAAACACCATGTCCACCCCCTCTACTGTGTGGGAGCTGCGGGCTTGACCTCATGTGACTTGACGGCGTATTCCCGTCTCCTACCCTCGAAAAGGGGAGATTTATGCTCTCAAGCTCCACGGAAAGGCTTGGGGTGTGCGGTGATTCAGCTACGCTACGGCATAGTTCGTTTAGTGGCGCTTTGCCGTCCCTGCCAGGTTAAGTAAGCACTTGCAATGACAGAGCATGCGAATGAACCGGGCAAACAGACGATGGCAAGCCCGAAAGAAAGCAAAACCAGCCCCCCGTCGAACTGAGCTGCTATAGCAATGCGAAATTCAGCTTGCCCTGGTATCTGGTATCCTCGGCACACCGCCCTTAAACCCGTCCGGTCTCCTGCTTCTTGGCATACGAAGAAGCGTTTTCGATGAGGTACTCAGCGTTCTGCTTTGTCATCCTGGCAATGAGTTGGGCTTACATACATTCCTACCTCGCAGGCACGTGAAAGGCCAATATTTTGGTGGGAGGGTGGCTGCACAGCTTAATTTCATGTGCAAAGTGGCGGAAACCGTCTTGATTCCATTACAAGAGTGTAGCGCAAGTCCTGTCTTTGGAGAAAGCCTTTTTCAAGCTTCGCACCGTAACCTCGGCTTCTGCTGTCTAGCGGGCTGTTTAGCAAGTAGCAGCACAAGTTAAATTGCTATAGCAATACTCGAAGGTTCCGGGCCACGTGAGTTTCACGCTCAAAGCAAAAGTCACAGCACCTTTCAAGAACCCAGGCATGACACATAATGCCAGCTGCTACTTGGACTCCAATAAGTGTAGACACTCGTTCCGTTCTGTTTGTGAGCCCCATGCTATCTGGTGTTTCGGATCAAGGCATCGCCGCAGCTGACTTCCTGCTCACCTGTACTACCTGTAGCTTAAACCCGACGAGATTGCTATGGGACATGGCAAGTGCACGACCGACGATCGCGCAGGGACTGTTAGATGGCAGCGATGTGGATAGTGAATCCTCTTGGATGGAGGGCATGAATGACAGGATTGGCGAGCTTTCTGAATCCAGTCCGAGGACGGCTGTGCTTTGTAATTGCCAAGATTAGAATACGTTTAACACTGAGCACGCATGAGCACGCGCCACGTCTACGATCAACTTTCGGATGACCTTGATAGACGGGACCGACGCAGAATGTCACTCTGTACGCAGCAGCAAGATGGCGTTGGCTTTGCTGCGCTTTTCGCGAGGGTGTGATTTGATAGTGTTGGAGAGTTTTTGGGCGATGCTTTTTAATGTCCATATCCTTGGTTTTCTCTCGGAAAACCTCTATCCTTTGTGTTTTCATGAGATTCTGATTAATTTCCATAGGGATCCTATTGCTTCTATTCGAAACTCGTCTATTCCATCTGCATTTTAGTCGGATTCCTATGAATTGTCATAGGATTCTTCCTCTTTCTACCAAGACTCTAATCGAGTTCGTATTTGAATAGGATTCTTCTGGAGGTGGCTAGAAAAACATGAGATTCTTATTACATTTAATTCCCATCGAATTCTTATAAAATGTGAAAAAGACTCTTCTTAATTGTAATGGGATTTCTACTTGCTAACACAATGCTCGTATGATGCGCTTGGGAAGCATTCATCAGGTTCTTCCTGGCAACCTTTGCAAGTGTTTAGGAAAAGCGGGGGGCGCAGCCACCCCCATTCGCAAACGCAATGCGCGCACGACTGTCACGGATCAAAAATCCGGGCGGCGAGGGGGTGCCTGCCCATTTGCAAAGCACAATGACTGTCAAGGATTAAAAAAGCGTGGGTGTTGGTGCAACACAATGCTAGCAGAACGGGTTCGGAAAGGCTTCTCATGCTGTTAGGGCAGGTTCTCTTTTGGGCATGAAGCTTGACATATAAACGAGGCGCGGGTTGGGCCCCCCCAAAAAAGAGTTGCGAACATAGTGCGCGAATGCGTGCAGGACGGGTTTGGAAAGGATTCCGATGCCTTTAAGGTAAGTTCTCTTCTGGGCATGAAGGTTTAAAAACAAGCAGGGCGGGTCCTTTTCTCTTTCTTTCTGTCTTCATTTCTTTATGTGTTTTTGTCTGTCTGTCTTTCTTCCTTCTTTCTGTTACTCTTTCCTTTCTGCTTTCTTTCTTTTCTTTCCGTCGTTATTTCTTTCTTTCCTTCTTTCTTTCGTTCATTATTTCACTCCTTCCTTCCTTACTTCCTTCCTTGCTTCCTTCCTTCCTTTCTTCCTTCCTTGCTTCCTTCCTTCCTTTCTTCCTTCCTTCCTTTCTTCCTTTCTGTCTGTCTGTCTGTCTGTCTGTCTGTCTTTCTTTTTGTTCTTTCCTTCTTTCCTTCTTTCTTTCTCTATTTCTTTCGTTTTTCTTTCGTTGTTCTTTCTTTCTTTCTTTCTTTCTTTCTTTCTTTCTTTCTTTCTTTCTTTCTTTCTTTCTTTCCGTCCGCTTCTTCCTCGATCCCCCCCCCCCCCCCCCCCCCCCCCCCCCCGGAAAAGCGACAAACAGTGCTGTGATCATCCCGGCAACGAGCTCTGCAGGATGGGCAGGGAAATCATCGTCCTCAAGCTCGCAGATGATGTACCACCTGCGAAGCCATATTCCAACTGGGGCAGAAGGGAATCCAATGGTGAACCATGGATGGAACCTGTCAAAAGGGAACTGTCGCAGAGCTGTGGCTTCACCAAAACCGGCACCGATGACAACTCAGAACCCACACTAGCTCCTACATCGATCCGAAACACTACACATCACAAAACTCGAAGCTTGACCAGACACACTCACGCTGCCAGCAAGCCGCATGTTGATGAAGGCCTTGGTGTCTTTCAGCGTGTCAACCGCATCGCTGACCTGGCTAGCCCCAGCACAACCTCCATGAAAGACAAGACATGGTAGCGTCCCTGTCAGCCGCTGCCTGCTCCAGAAGAGTAGGCGGCTCCCCCGCGTTTGCATGAATACGACCATAAGCCTGCAGAGCAGCCGCGCCCTTTGCACCTGAAAGCCTCTGCCTCTGGGGCCCTGGCCCTCTTATTTCTAAGCTGCTGCGTCAAGTCTTGTACAAGTCTGTTGTAAATTGCTGCATCAATCTGTGCAAGTCGGTTGGTGGTGAATCTGGGGCTGTTGTTCAGATGTGGTAGGGTTCTTGCGCCTTTGCCTGGTGTCTAAACAACCTTGCATGTTAGTCGGCTGAATTTCTAAGACCCGGTAGGGGTTTATGATTTATCTTGTTCCCTGTGGGCATCTGCGGGCACTGTATGCGCCCCGGGGTTGCTCTGGGTCGGTTGAAGTTATTCCGTGTCCACAGGAACCTGAGAACCTTCTTTTCCCTTTCCCCAGCAATATGCAACTGGGTTTTTGTAGGGTAAGGGGCTCCTGCCCCCACTCCTTTCAGATGGGCGGGCACCTCTCAACCCTGTGTGGTTCCAGAGCAGCCTCGAAAATCAAGCCCACGAGGATGTTGATCATCAAGATGCCTGACAGTTCAGAGCTTCGCGGAAACAGGATGCCGAGACAGCTATCCGTTTAACCAAATTGAACCTGCTAAGCCCCTTTTAACGCTGCCCAACGCGGCCCATGGAATTCAAATCTTCCGGCATCTTCGAGAGTCTGCGGCGGCACGCAACAAAACGTCACACCAATTGCCCCAAGCTGTCAGAGCATCTTTCTGCCGCATGCCTTCTCCAGCCGAGGGGACGAGAACAAATGGCAGCCAAGAGTGAACAAGGGCAGCGTTTACGCTTTGACGAAAAAACCACGTTAAGGGTGCTGTCACGCGAACCGGTTCTGCAGTTCGGAGAACAAACAACGCAAGCTCATTCAGGAGACACTTGCACTGCAACAGCGATAGCAAAAAATCGCTAGACATATTGGTTAACAATGGGGGACCTAAGGGGACCAAAACAGGGCGGGGGGGGGGAACCCCCCCCCCCCCCCCCCGCCTCCTCATCGAGAACCTGAGGTCCCACATCGTGAAAGGAATCCTTGTCTGGCGTCCCCCAAAGAGGAGGGGGGGGGGGAGGCCCGAGGGTTGGCCCCCCCCCCTCGCACCTGAAACCTCCGATATCGGAGATAAAGGCCCCTCCAACAAAAAAGTGGTAAACAAGAACTCCCGCAAGTTCCGAGGGAGCTAGCTTTCGTGATTACACAGGAAATGCGAAACCCCAATGTGGATGCTGCCCGTCGTTGTCAATGCATGAGGCCTCAAAACACGCGACACCTGGCATCACCTGGTGGCCGCTCACGTTTTAGACAGCTTTTTCAGCAATTCAAAGTGCCTGTTGGGAGCAAATCGCAAGAAGACGCTTGTTTGTATATGCTTATTGTCACGACATGCATTGTAGTTTTACTCGAATGCCCGGTCGGCGCGCGCAACCGAGATGCATGCATCGGGCGTTCATCTTTGAACCCACGGTTGCCTGAACAGACTGATTCGTGTCGAGCGTTCAATCTGTGAGGAAGGCCCAAAGTGCGATTCCCCAATGTGGACGCTCCACACATCGAAACCGTTCCACGATGTCCGACGGTATGCACCCAAATCAAAGATCCAAATGTGGCCGCCCCACGTGCTGATTGCAATGGCGGCGTGGATCTACGCTAAGCCCCTCTCCCAAATGGACATGAACGACGCCTTCTCGGATCGGTGCGCCAAAAGGCCGCTGCATCGACTGTCGCAACAGCTTGAATTTATGTTGTGACCTCTTTCGTTTCTGAAGGTTTGTTGTGGCAAGTCACAAAATCAATTGCCGGGCCCCAGACGGTGTAAACAGTGCCCAAATTGGTTCCGACAGTTCGGGGGCAGGCGCAGATATTTTTGTAATCGGATTTTGCGTTTGCCGCTTTTCGGGCGATGAGTCGGCATTGATGCTGATGGAAGTCGTGTATGTCAATGTGTTGCTTAAACTTTGTGTCAGGTCTGTCTGATACTGCATGTGAAGACACGTCGCGCTACAAGCATGAGCTTTGTACCACTCTCTCAAACGGCGCAAACTCAGAACAATCATCGCTGCAGGGTTGCTCATCAAGGCCAAGTAGGTGAAGTGCCAAAAGTAGGCCAACACCTGCCCGACTCGAAGGGGATCTCAGGACCCTCCTGAAAGTTAAAAACCAAGGTGCTTCGACCGAGGTCGGACTTTATGGTTTCGGGAAAGTGCGCTACACGCAGAAGCGCAGTGACTGCTAGAGTGAGACTGCACCTCTCCGGAACAGTCAGCTTGCAGAGGCCATTTAGCTCTCTCAATGTGAGCCACGAGGAAGAAAGGGACGGTGATCAGCCAGGGCCATACATTTGGGGAGGAGCTTTCCGTGAGATCTTGGACGGCAAGGCCGAGACACCACTACACAGAATTCACGGAATCTCATCACATGGCACCACACCTGGTACCAAATTTCATAGACTTCGATGTCGGCCATGCCCACACCGGCTCGCCAACAGAAGAACCTCTTCCGGAACAGGTGATAAGCATTCCACTCAATCTTTCACAATGCGCAAGGGATGAGTCGCGCACCGGGGCTGGTATGGGCAGCTACTGTGCCTTCTTCGAAGCTCTGAAGCTGCTGGGGCTTAATTCGCCGGAGAAACTGAATTTTGGATTTGGGGACCATCGAATGGGATCTTTCCTGTTTAATCTAAAGAACACTTCGTCCACAGGCTGGCTTTCAAGGCCAAGCGGCACAGAATAGACAAATGTGTGGAAGCCCTCCACCGTGTAGCCGAATAGAACCATGCCAGCTGAAGCAAAGCACAGAAAGACCTTAGAGGGTCTCAGCATGTCAGAGCGGGGATATGGCATGGGCACAGACTCCAAATGCCCTTTTAACACACAGACTCTATCTACCAGGACGACACCAAAGGTCGGTAGAGCACGCTCCGCACAACCGCTGTTAACACAAACGACTCACAAAAGCCTACGAAAGGAAAAGCCAAACTGACTAAGGTGATGCCTTTTTGCCGGAAATCAAATCAAGGACTTGAGACCAAGGGCACTAAGCAGGAGCTAAGCCGGTGTAGGCTGCTGGCACAACTTTAATGCTTTCATATGTTTCATCACTCATCCGGCCAACATGGCCCGCCTTCGTTTTTCCGAAGAGACAATCCCAACCGCACCTGTTTGGGCCCGTCATGGGTCATTCTGGAAACTTCCTATCTTCCTTCCATTCTCCCGATTCATGCTTCACCCGTCCGTGTGCATCAGCCGAGGAACGAGCAAAAACGCGATCGCAAAGTGAAGCACATCCGTCGCAGAGTCTGTAATGGTCTGGATCACCTTGGGGGCCCGATACACATGTCCATCAATGAAAGCACTCAGCCTGAAAATGGCTCTCATAGCTCGGGCAAACCAGTTGAATGCAACCGAGGCGCAACATCCAAACGGTCATTGGCTCCTTTCTGTGCTGCATGCAGCACACACAGACACAACTGCAGGATCAAAGCCGCTAAGAAAGCACAGTCAAAGTGACATGACATCTCCTTGACTAAGTGGGCCACCAAACACAAACGCCCAACAATGCCACACCCTGAGTCTCGCATCCAAGGATCTGAAAGCCTTGAAGAACTTGAACATAAGGACAAAGAGGTAGAAAAACAGGAGCGAGCGCACCAGCCTTGGGCCACGTGCCAGTAGCAGATTCATCCAGGCCCACTCGGTCACCCCCTAACGTCATAAAGGGCTCCCTCCTAAACCACCACGGCAGGCACACTCGTGCCTGCCCGATATGCAGATGTTTTTTTCCGGCAGTTGCTCCAAGAGCGAAGCTATACATATGCCGCGTGCATTGTTGCATCGCCTGGCAACGTGTAGAGGTAGGCTGTCTCTTCCGCCGTTGTCAAGACTTCGGACATTTTCCGCTCAAAATCCTGAGAGATACTCATATGGGGACAATGGGATCTACCCCCTCCTCCCCCCGTCATCAGGAAGACATTTGTTCTTGTACCTTCATCCCGAGTCACGTCGGTTTCCTGGTACATGCACATGAACTTGTCGTCAATCTGTACTGTATCTCCTGCTGCGCAGCAGCCTAACAAGACTTGCCTGGACCTAGTCGTATCGTCTGGAGTCTGGATGGCCAAGCTTCTTGTCGATCAACAAGATTGTTGAACTCCTCACGGCCACACTTCAAGAATGCTCGAGGTAAACAGCAACCAAACAAAGCGCGGACAACACAAGCATGCGACATGCATATGGCGCACCGGCACTGTCAAATGTGGCGCAGGACTGCCGGTAACGTCCGCGATCAGATTCAAACATGCCGGTAGAGCTGAGCTGTAGTTCCAGCAAAATCCGACCGAGAAACAGGCTCCTCGACTATTGGTACGTGGTGAAAAATCTCGGCGACGGAAGGCTTGTAGGTGGAGCGGTATGCAAGACATGGACGGATACACGATGACTCGGAGTGACAGGAAAGGACTAGCTTCCCTGCGCCTGTCCTTCTGCCATATTATCTTGCTTTGGCTGTCATTCTTTGGCACAATCGTGGCGAAAACATATGAGAACGCGAAAATGCAATAAGAAGCTAAGCAAAAAGTTATGGCACTAAATTTTGGGGGTCATCCTCTCATCCGATTGGCCTGTCCTCGTAGCTCAAGTAGCTGCGGTTGGTGAACACCTGAATTACACGAGCCCATATGATCCCACGCCCGCAGCGACAAACACCAAGTGTCTTTCCTTGGTCCTAAATTTATGAAACCACTGCCGCTATATTGGAGGAAGCGCTTCCCAAAAAATCCACGTGCAACTACAGCAGCAAGGAGAACGTTTGGCATCTGCTGTGCTGTGCCTCCAGTTATTACGTAACAAATGCGTGAAGGCAACCCGCGGCAACCCGAAGACTTCCGGAAGCCTCCGAATATGAAGAGCGTTGTCCCATTGATTTCCATATATGTTCGACTGAGAAAAAAAGATTTTAGATTGGTGCAAACTGGAACGTATAGCGCCATGGTAAGATATGCAGGGTTCAGACTCCTACTGAACTTAAGTTGTGGCTTCCGCTGGAGGCAAGCCTGGTAGGGGGGCGGGGGGCTTGTCAACCAAGGCTTCAAGCCTTTGGGGCAACAGAACAACACACCTCCCTTATCCCTCCTCCTGGCAATGTTGGAGCAGTGTTCTCTAATACCCTGTGGACCCCCTCTGTTGAGCACCCTGCACATGCCATGCAGGCATCCTTCGAACCGCCCTGCTTGGCAGGGTTACACTTGAAAGCACGACTCGCCGAGGCGGGGCGCGTGAGCGTTACTGTTACATGCAGAGCGGGGATACCCCAATCAAGAGCATGGACTAACATCAAGGAACGACACCTTTGCTGGGTTGATTCAGCGGTTTCCCTTTCAGGTCTAGGTGCTGCCAAGTCCAAGAGATCTGAGGGCATTCCCGCAAGGACATCTCTCAAATCCACGGTGACCTTCACCACGAAGACCAGCCACACAGAACTGGACAGGCCAGGGCAGCTTCGTGTCACTCTAAAGAAGCCCGCGTTAGAGAAAAGACGAAAACAGCGCAGCCATGTGCTATGGCGAGGCAATACACATTGGCATGCATTCGGCCAAGACACACGCATGCGATTCCAACCGTGACATTGATCCAGTCCACGACGTTCCAGAACTTTAAGTAATCCTGCCAGCAATGATCAGCAATGAACCAGGTATGAGCATCCTAACTAGGACAGGCGATGACAGGCTGAGGGCTTGCGCTGAACCAAAAACAGTTATTGGAGTTGCATCAGGGAGGGGGATGACTTGCAGCATCAGCAACAAAAGCGGAAAGCGCCCGAGACGCAATGAACATCGATATCTTCAAGCCTCAATCCTGTCAACTAAACCCCGCTCACCTTAATGCCATCCAAGCCGTTCATAGCTGCAGGGATCGCTTCCTTTAGCTCTGAATGCATGATGCTGGTCAACCTCAGATGCATGAGGCCTGCTCACAAGCCATACCTGACTCAGACCTGACAGAAAGCGTTGAGTAGCTCTTGTCCACGAGCAAGCTGGCCGGGATCTGGAAATCTTTAATCTTCGAATCTTACAAGATCTTGCCAAAACACAGCGCCAGGAACATCAGATCGGGCAGCACAAGGGCCAGGTTGTAGTAGGGCGCCCCGTAGAACGTTTCTCGCATGCCTGAAGGTTCTGGCAGTCGATTACTATCCTCCTCTTTTGCCAGGCCCCGATAAAACGGGAGGCAAGAAACAATGCAGCAAGAGACAGGCCGAACGCCAAGATTTAGGGTTTAGGGAGGGTTTAGGGGTTAGGGTTTACGCTTTAGGGGGTTTAGGGTTTAGGGTTTAGGGTCTAGGGTCTAGGGTCTAGGGTCTAGGAGTCTAGGGTCTAGGGTCTAGGGTCTAGGGCCAAGGCCCGAAGGTAGCAGTCGAAAAGCATTGAACATCGTTTGGAGCACTTCATGATTGCCACCTTCTTCGCGCAGCCTTGAGCCCGCAATCCAGCCAAGGCAGTCGTGGGCGATAGCTGGCAATAACCACTACTGTATTGTTGTGTGATCCTGAGTGTGATAATAACACATAATGCTACAAGTGCCCCTTCAAAACCCCCCCAAACGAAACAGCTTGGGAAGGCCTGGCCGCTGAATGAGGAAACCGGCTGGCGACCACTCCATGCGCAGGTTCTGGAGTGTGAAGGCAACCTGCAATCACAATCCCACGCTTCCCAAGCTTGGGCACTCAAGCATAAGAGCAAGGCTTTGGTGAATCTGCAACACACAGGTTGAGTTATCACTATTGGGGCGACATCTGCATTGCAAGAGCTTGGGGCATCTTACACTTACGCGGCTGCGGACCATTGCGGAACTGACCCAACCGCATCGGCTCGTCTAATCCTATCACGCGGAAATGAAAAAGTTTGGGGGCACAAGCTTTGCTGGCCTGGTGGGCATTGAAAGTGAAGATTTGAACGTCGAGGATCCTGACTCACGTCTGTTGCGATGCTTCCTCCCACTGTTGCACTTAGCTGCAAGATGATGACGACGCTTAGATGAGGATGAGGATAAGCACGACAGGACGACGACGACGACGACGACGACGACGACGACGACGACGACGACGACGACGACGACGACGGTGGTGACGACGATGCCTTTGCCGCGATCTGCTTTGGAGGCCGGCACTGCCCAGCTAAAGGGCAGTTACAAGCATCCACGCAGCATTCTTACCAAGCCGAAAACACATACAATGCTACAGATGTGTCAGATCCTTGACTACAAGCTGGCGTCGAACCTTCGGGCCAATGCAGTCTTTGTAGCCACGGTACGGAGAGTCTGCGTTCACCCAAGCGATGTCGCGGAATTGATGCAGCTGATCCTTTCCCAGAACTATCGCAAGCCAGGCATGGACAGAAAGTTCAAGGGCCCTTGGAGCGAGCTAGAGCTCAGCACTCCATGTGCCTGTTGTTGTGGTGGGCTCGGGGGATGGTCGGCATGAGAGGAGATCATGCCAACACGAACGCCGCTGGCCTCCAGGACCTCCCTCTTTTGGTGGTAGAACATGTACCTGTTCTGCACGCGTGCACGTGATTGACGCCTGCCATGAAACTGATGATGCCCTCTCGCGCAGACATGCTGGAAGCATTATGCAGCAGAGCCACCAATCTTCTGGCCGTCTTGGGCCTTGCTGGTGGCAGGTCGGGTAAATCGCCTGGCATGCGCAGCTTGAGAAAGACCCCAGCTCTTGCAAAGGCACATCAGGCTCAAAGGCTCAAAGTCTCACCGTCCACCAGCCTTCCAGAAGTCACCAATGTCGCATGCCTGCACTCAGGGAAGACTAGTCGGATGAAGGCTGTTAGCTTGGTTAGCTTCGTTTGATTTCGTTTGGCATTCCTTGCTTTCATGATCACAATCACACTGGGCACCTGCTGTTCGGTGACCCACTTCCGTAGTCGTGCTGCCCCAATGATCCTCGGAGCGAGCTGCGTACAAGAGCCAAGCACACAGAAATGCTCCGTTGTTCTGGGAAGCTGCTGGACCAAAACCTGAAACTTCGTAGTGCTTTCCGATGAAGTGAGCTTCAAACGCTAGCAGCTGCAATCGATTACTGCGAGGAAGGGGGGAAGAGGGCAAAGCAACCAGACACGCCTCAACAACCATGTCTCGGATGCAGCGAGGCATCTGATTCTCTCTGAAAACACGGCCAGGGAAAGGGGCGGTCACCACCGGGTCCTGCTGCAGCACATGCTGCAGGTTTACAGGCCGGTACTTGAAGCTCGAATGCTAATAACGGCGTAACAGGCCCATTCCTCCGACGAATCCTGCAAAAAGCAGCCGTCACACTGCTGTTGCATGGCACAGGCTCCGCAGAGGATTCTTGCTGAAAAATAAGCAGCTTCAGAAGCAGAAATCTTCCCTTCAAGGTTACAGCCGTGGCTAAGGAGCAACTTTCTTTCGGCACGGTGGTGCCGTTGGTGCCGTCCTCTCCATAATTCCCCCCATACCGATATTGCCGCACGAAGGAGAACAAGTCGTGCCTGCAAAAAATGCCGTGGACTCTCTGAACATGCACAAAACTGTGCTGCACTTGCTCTGTTGTGCCGGGGTCCGCTTTTCCGAAATGCCGCGAAACTATTAAAGCATTTTCATGCCAGCAATGCTACCTGGTACGGAATGCGACAGTATCTGGCCATGTCGCCTGAAGATGTTACGGAAGAAGCCACGCTCTAGCCATATCCAAAACGTCTCGATGTCGACCGTATCATAGGCCAAGAAGTCGCCTTTGGTAGAGTATGCAGCAGCACGATGATTGATAAAGAGCTTGTTGAAGCATTGCATATTTCTTAGGTCAAAATGCGCTCCTAACTTGTGAGATCTTGTGTTTGTCCACACACGCTACGTGCATGGTCGATATCTGTTCAGTTGGTTCCACCGTCTGTGCGGCAAAGCAATCTGTCAAAGCTGCACTCCAAGGGTGTTGCAACATTCGTGGACGACGTCGAAAGGCAACCTATTCTACTGCATCTTTGCAGCAGATTGCAGCCAAAGTGCCGAAACCAAGGCCTGCGTCGAACACTTGGGAGATCCTGCGGCATCATCAGCCCAAACCGAAAATGCTGTATCCAATGAGCTGTCGCGGCCATGAGGCCTAGGGAATCCTGGTAGTAATGCCGAACGGCCTTCGCGAACGGTGCAGCTGCGCAAAGGGCTCCCGGCGGGGGCTTGGGGTTGCAGGGGTCTTGATGAATTCTTGGCGTTGGACTGGGGCTGTGGGGAAAGGTGGGGGTAGGTCTGCTTCTTCCACGCTGACAGTGGAACCCCAGGTGACCCCCCGGGACCTTGGGGGGATCTGCTGCGGTGATGCTCCTTGCAATGGGTTCAACAAAGAAACCGAGGTCCAAATTGTTGTGTCCTGTTTGCCAGGATGAAAAAACCGGCTGCTGCTTCCAAAGCTGCCCAGAACACGGCCGGCAACCGCAAGATCCGGTGATCGCTGTTTCGCTTGGCACACTTGCAAGGAAGACGTGTGGAAACCATCAGGCTTCGGACATCCCGAAGCTTCGAGTTCGAGAAGACCGTGTGACCTCATTCAGCTTGGAAACCCTTAAGCTAAGCGAGGGCACTTTGCAAGGCAACCTATTCAGTCCCGTGTTCTAACACTTGCCGATTGACTGACGTCAGCTTAACGCAGGGTGCGCCAACAGCATGCACCTGTCCAGGGACGTGACGCTTGGGGACTGCACATATATCAGGCTGGACAGACTTACATTGCTTGGACATGTTTAAATGAAAAGAACTGCTCGCGGAGTGCTCCACATGGGTAGCAACGCTGCGAACGAGTGGGTTCGTGCCCAAGCCCGTCAATTGTTTCGCTTCTGGATTGTACCGCCCCATGTGTTTTCGTTTGCCGCGCCCCGTCTTGACACCGTCTTGAACCAACGCGGCATGCTCTGTCCGCGCCAAGCAACATCATGTCCGTGCACCAACAAATCATACACGGAGTCCTTGCGACTCCATTGAGCCAAAATCAAACCGTCAACATCCCAAAGTCTCTCAGAGCCCCCAACATCCCAAAGAGTTCTAGCCCATACTCACTCACCCTCTTCTTCTAACATACAGGATCTCGCAGGCGATCTCCCAGCTCTCTGCGAACCAGCTCTGGGAAAATGCTGCACTGTGTCGCGCAAGTCTTTGCCAGTGATGCTCGGAAGCGTGGGGCGGTCAGATCTGCATTGCTTGCCTGCTCCCCTGGACTTTGCCACTGGCACTCAACTTCAACCCTCACTGTCCGCAAGCTTATTGCTTTCAGCATCCTACAACCAGAGCTTCAGAAAGCTTCTGCCAGAGGGCGCATACGCAGGCCCTGGAGGTCCTGAAGGCCTCGAAGACGCCAAGGTGGACTGCGGCAGAAGCTACGAAGGTGAAGAAGAGAAGGAGTGTCTCGGGCAGCGACCAGAGGTTGCTTTTCTTGTCCTCGAGCCGTCAATGCGACGACATGCTAAGCTTTGAGCGGAAAGTGTGCGATGTGCAATGTCTAACTATCCCATCGTGGACGATACACGACGTGCACAGGACTTGAGAGCATGGCGAACGAAACCTACAGCCCCCAAGGTGGCCCGCAGACGCGCAAAACGCAGGCATTAGGGTTGAGGGTTGAGGGTTGAGGGCTTCGGATTGGGTTTGCACTTCTTGTGACAATTCGGTTGCAGTATGTTGACACAAGCCCTTAGGCAGGGGGTGTGGGTTCAAGGTCAGACCGAGGTGCCCCCCCCCCCCCCCCACCTAATCGAGAACCCCGGGCATGGCATCTCCTGATAACTCAAGCCAAGGACCCCCAATCCCCCCCCCCCCCCAGCGTGACTGTGCGACCTTAAATCGTGGAGGTATCAGGCCAAAGGTCCCCCCAAGTCCTGCTTTGTTTGGCCCAAGAGAAGAAGGGTGCAAAAACTCCCGCAAGCTCCATTGAGCTAGCTTTCGTGACTACTCAAATGCCTACTCCATGGCGAGTCAACGACTACTCTGCATTCTTGCTCGAAAAACCACTAAACCACGTGTCCCAAATGGGCATCATTGGCTTTGATCTCTTAACTGAATTCGTTATGCTGTTTACAGAACTTTATTGACATGACTGGAATTGCCGGGTTCCGGCCGAACCTAGTCTAATCCACCTCCAAGTACTGTCAAAATCAAGTCCATGGCTTCTCTCCGACATGGTGTGGTGTTATTTTAGTTTTTGCATGCCCTGGAGCTCTCTGATCAGAGGCATGGCGCGTACTCGTACTTCAGCCAGTCAAGAAGCTCCGTCAGGGAGCACTCCGTCGACTTGTGGTCCTGAGTGGCAGCCCTGTGGCATTCGCAGAATCTTACTCTCGTTGGCATACATTCCAATCTCGCATTGCCCTGGCAGCATATGTAACATGCAGTGCACACCGCAGCTCCTTCTCCTGACCAAACAATGTTTTCCTCAGATGCAGCATGACCGTGCACAACCGTTGGGCCGGATGATATCGGAGACTACACTGACTACAACGTATGGCTTGAGAGCTTGGACTCTTCACCAACGTGAAGGCAACGCTGCCTCGTGTAAGCCCTCTGTGGACGTCTTCCACGGAGACCTCCATGCCGTTCAACCGTTCTTGAGTGCGCGTGTCTTCTTGGCTCTCCAACTTTGACGAGTGGTATGTTTTTGCGCGTGCTGAAAGCTTGCCAAACAAGGCAACTCTCAAAAGCCTGAAAGAGTCTAAAGACTAACTGCCCAGGCCTCCCCTAAGCCTTCTAGGTCGGAGTCCTTGATCCAGTCCTTGACATCTTGGGCAGTCAAACCAAGCCCGTCCTTGGAACGTGACCACGCGTGTAAACAAGACCTGAAAAGATGCCCATTGTGGCTTCATAAGATCCGTTCATACTTAGTTGCAGAAGTGCATTCTCTGACATGACTCACAAGACTCTCCGCAAAAGGCTCCGAATCTATCCGGCCCTCAACTTCTTCAGGTCCCTGAGTGCCCCAAAGCATTGCACGTGCGGATGTATTACCGGCACCCCCCTTGCCGCATCTGGTGGATGGCAGTTATGTCAGCTATGTTCCACTCACAAGGGACATTACATGCCAACCACCGAGTAGGCAACACCGCAACAGCGTGCACAAACGGTTGTGATTAACTTGTTCTGAGCCTCTAAAGCACAAAGTTTGACGAGCTCCTGCGACTCGATGGTCCCGTACACACCGAAGGAATAAAACAGCCTGCGGAATGGATCTTCGAGCGGAAGTCTGACCGTTTAACTGCGTGAACCACGGCAACGTGAAGGCTGTGGAAGAGATCGTTTGTTCAGGACATTAGGACCTACATCTTGAGATTGATTTCAGCATAGACCATTTGGCAGGCCATGCACAGCACAGAAGACGAAATTCAGCTCAGCAGCTCTTGCACGTCGTCATTGGTTATGAGGTGCAAATTGCCTTTCAGGATTTCAGAGGAAGTAAGGACTTGCCTTAGGATCCGAGACCTCCAGTCTGGAGTTCAGGCTTCTAGCGGATTCTAGCGCCTGAGTCCAGCTGCGTCACGCCCACATGCTGTCGTTCTGCCACTATGCGTACGAGCTGGCAATGGTTGAGTTTTTGGACCTGATATCCAGGCCTTCCTTCACCTTGTCCCACACTTGGCACTGCAGCACTCTATCTTTGAAAGTCTCCGTTGCAAGCATGGCGATCGGGCATCTGCATGGCGTTTCCAGAAGATTACAGGTTTCTGCAACTGGGCTTGGGCAGCTGTGCTATGTGCGCCTGCGCTCTTGCTGCATGTGGGTGGTTGCAACGCTACTGAATGGCTGTTGGGGCAGAACAGAATGAGGCGTACTTCGTGGGGGGGGGAGGGGGGCAACTATGCCTTACGTGATTTCCCATCCAGCATTGCTTCTTTTTGCTTGGCGACAGCTTTATGACCTAAGAGCCGCAACCCAGGCACCTGGCTGCCTCAGCTGTGCCAACACCGGATTTCATTGAGATGCGCGCATTTTAGAAGGTCATCACCCCCTCTGCCCCATCCCCGGAAAGCACGCGATCAAGTAAGAGCGCTTGGGCCTGTGACTTTGGTGCTTGTGCTGCTTGTGGGGTTGTCCTTGAGTTTCGGGAATGTGGGCGTGCACTTGAGGATTCAAGGTTTGGGAATTTGGGCTTGTACATCCCGTCTGGTCAGGGTCGACGGAGACCGCGTCATGGAAACACACACCCCAAAGGCCGATAAAAGGTGGCAAAGTACCAGGCACCTCGGGGCACGCAGGGCTACTACTGACGGAGTACCAAACTGAACACGGCGGACATTGAAGTCTGGCAACCCAAACACCCAAACAACCGACGCCTGCACTTGGAATTTTGCCCTTGCATCGACTTTGATTCGAACTCGACAAGTTGCATTTCTTCTGTACATGTAGGTGGTGCAGCTTGCATGCAGATCATGCTGCTGATGACCACGTAACATTTCCGATACTCCCGTGGCCCGTGCAACAGCATATAAAACGTTAACAGGGCAGCGGGCTCACACCGAGAGCGGAGCCCAAATCTGTGCCCAATATCCTTGGGCGGAAGGACCCAAAATGGAGAGAGCGGGGCCCGAATCCATGCCCAAATTGCCTTGGGCATAGCCCACAGAAATGCAGAGCGCTTGAATTATGGCACATCAGGAATAGCTTCTTCGCCACGATCGGCTACGATCACGACTGTCGATGGTGAGCTGACAGCGGTCCGTAGTGAAGTAGTGAAACACCAGACACTGCCGGAAGTCCACACTTCGCTATGAAGCGACAACCGTAAGCTGGGCAGCACAGGAGATTTTTGTCAATTGTCAGCACATGCCTTCCTTAGCGCGTCCAATACATCAGCACTGTAAAGTGTACATGTTCAAATGAATCTCAGCACGCATGCCAGACAAGACACAAAGAGGGTCCCGCGGCATGTGGCCACTGATGGCAATGCCATGCTCCCTCTTTCCCACAAATGGTTGCCTTGGCTTCGACAAGCATTGGCAAAGCACTGTTAAGCAGCGCGTGCAGTTAGTCCGGGCAAGCCCACAGACCATCTTTCGTGTAACAAGTGCAAACTGCACTGCGAGACTTCAAAGGCAGGCTTGTAGGGTTCAACTGCTGCGATGTACAGATCATAAGGAAACTCACTCGCACTTGCTAAAGGTGCCTCGTGCTGATGCAGGAGAGGAGTGTCCCAAGCCAAGGCACCGACCGTGAGCCCAGCGAAAATTGTCAAGAACAAGTACCTTACTCGCGCTGGAAACCCAAGACCCCGATTGCAAGAATCTCATGAGAATGATGATGATGATGATGATGATGACGATGGTGATGATGGTGATGATGGCGATGTTCCTCCTTGATGTGAGCCGGCCTCTCTCCCCTTCTTGCCAATTCTTGCCTTCCTACGCCCGTCCTTCTTTCCTTTCTACCTTTGCTCCCATTCTTCATTCCTTCTTCCTCCATGCGATGCTTCCGGCGAATATGCAGATGTTTGCTGGCCCGGAAACAAGCACTGCTCCCACTCAGCTATTTGGGGATCCGACTTCCGATCCTGAACCCTGCATCCAAGTCACATCTCCCGGCTTCAGCAACGTCTCATACATGGCCTCCGTAGTGGCGGTGCGCAGTGCCTGCAGCTCGTCCTCAGAGAACTCCTGCCGTCACTTGGTGTCACATCTGAGAGCTATCACCTATCAATCAAAGCTCACTTCGTGGCTCTGGTGCAGTAGGCAAATGTGTGTACTCGCCTGACCGTTGCCGAATTTCGAATGAAACGGCGAAAGCACATCACCGTTCTCGCTGAGGTTATCCAAGATGGCCTCGATCAGATTCACTCAACAGCTCAAGCCCGACCAGCTACACAAGAATACGATCGAAGCATATCGTAGCCCTCCGCACAAATCGCTCTATTCAAGCTAGAAAATTCAAAAAAGTTCATTAGAATTAATTCAAATTAATTCGAATTAATTAAAATTAAATAAAATTGAATAAAATTAATTAAATTTATTTAAAAAAGATTAACATTGATTAGAATTCATTAAAATTCATTAAAATCAATTAAAATTTTTATTCAAGTTAATTAAAATTATTCAACCTTAATTAAAAATTAGTTAAAATGAATTTAAAATTTATTTAAAAATAATTAAAATTGATTAAGACAAAGAATGCGGAGGCTACCAACACTGCGCCTATGTGGCATGGAATCGGGAATCTGGTAGTAAAGATACCAAGCACCAGAAGATATGACATCAAAGCAGAGACAAGCGGCATGTACCATGTGCGGCTTGCCGTCAAGCATGGAAACACCAGGGATAGTCCACTGCAGGCGAACCTTGTCCTTTGCCACATGCGCTTTCGTACTTGCAGCTGTCCACACCACCATGACAAGGCTTAGGGTTGTAAGCTATAAAGGTTCGATGCGGCCGGCAATTGAATTCAAAGGCGTGCCACGCGAAGTTCTCTGACGAGATAACTTGACTTCATAGTAAGACTGTCGCCGGGTCCTGATTACAAACTTCAGTCCTCCAGGTAGCGCTCCAGCAAAGACCCCGTGGAACCGCCCAAAACAACCTGTGTGAAGAAAGGCGTGGCGGAAAACTGTAGGGATCGGACTCTGCTCCGAAGTGATGTAGACTTGGCTCCGCTGGCATGCCAGGGAAACGTGAAAAAGCTGCGACCCTGAATTGGGGGCTACTGTGATCCCCCAAAGGCTCGTACACCCTACAAGAGAAAATGCTGAAAGACGTATGACTGGCCTAAGCTCCTGCACAACTAGAACTTCCGCGGCTGAGCTGCATCCTGAGCTGCCTTCTGCCGAGCGGACTCGTAGTCCAGCGTCTGATACTTAGTCTGCCAGTGGCCGGTGCAGTGGTGCCAGCCGGTGGTAGTATTGTCTCCCAAGACACGCTGATACGTGATGTTGTGCATCTTGATTTTCTTCGTCAACTCCGGGACTGCCTCAAGATGCAAATGGAAGCACTGCATCTGGGTCATGTTCATGACCCACTCATCCAGTGGACCTCGGCAATCTTCGCGTTGTCGTACAGTGTGAGGTGGCCTCCCACTTCCCTCGGCAGGTTTGCTAGCAATTCAGTTTCAAGTCTTGCCAACAACGGCACGTGTGAATCACTCAAAGGCTAAGCTGCGCTTGCTCCCAGCAAGTGAAGGCGACATACCGCGGCACCAGGAATAGATACCTAAGCATGGCAAACCTGTTTTAGATCTACAGATGCGAGAAAAAGGTGTATGACTTGGTGTCTGCACTGGTCTAGGAACCATTAACAAGCTTTGTCGCCCAGTGGCGATTGCTCGTTGTGCGGCGGCACAGGCTTCATGCTCGAACGTCCAGTTTTCACCTTCATTGCAGGCTCTCTACGCTCTTCTCGTTTCTACGTAGATGAAGAAAGGGTGCTCAGTCGTTCTCGCAAATTAGATTCGCGCATTCACAGTGTTCACTTGAAATCTTAATTTGCGCGTTCACTTCGCTCTCTTAATGAATATAACATATAGTGAAGGGAATACACGCGCGTATCAATATCCGACTTCGCACCCACAATAAAGTTCAAGCGATCGTAGGCTCACTTATAACTTTCTTGCGTTGACTTTGTTCACTAGTGAAAAGAGGTAAGTGACCGTAGTAAGTGCACGCTCTTCCCACGCACGCTTCCTTTTTCTTTTCTCCTTTTATTAGTCTCTTTTATCGCGCACGCAGTAAGCATATGATTCGTGCGGTCGCTCTCTTCTTTCTCTCCCTTACAATCACTTCCTCACAGAGGTCCCCTTTAGAGCCCAATAAAAAGAAGAGCAAAAGGAAGGGCCTTTAAGGGAGCGTGAGGACAGGAGTGAAAGAGTGAGAGCAAAGAAAAAGACCGCATGAAAGGACAAGTCTTAAAGTTAGGCAAAAACCCTTGAAAACACAGGGTCTTTCGCTCACTTCTTGTCTAACCTTTCTCTCGCCCGCCAATACTAATACTAATAATATGAATATTCACTAACTTGTTTGTATCAGAAAATTCACGGCCCCGTTATCATATGAGTTTTTTGGTGGGTCATTTAACACAGCATGAAAGGGCCCTTACTTCATCCATTATTACGGGGCCCATAATGCTAATGCGCTTGTAGCCCTGAATAATATCTTAATATCTCCAGTAATGCTAAGATTGCACGGCCCATTATTCAAATGTTTGTCTACGGCTCCGAGGAACAGCAGGCCTCTGAACTTTGCGGAAGGGATCAGGGCACCGACAACAGTGCCGGACGCGACGGGAACACCAGTATGGGTGGACCTGGGGGGACCACGTCCCCGGCACGGGGCTGGACGGAAACGCCTAGGAGCCTGGAATCGGTGAGAAGGTTGGGCCTGTCGCGTTAGCTACTGACTTTGCGACAGCGGCGGGGTTGTGGTTGCCTTCACTAGAGGAGGCTCCGCTACCCAACGTGAGCACACCCACAGCAGCTGCGACGCACACGTAGCCGAGGTGTGGAAGCAGACATGATTCTACATGAGGCTGATCCAGATCTCACCTCGACAAACAACAATCTCCATGTCCACCTCGCACTTCTCAGGCAACAAAGGTCGGGAAACCGGACGCGCCAAGGCACTCAGGAGAACATGTTCTTCGTGGCACGGTATCGCGAAGCTTCGGCATGCAGCTTCGCCATTTGGCATTCTATCGGTGGTCTGCTTCAGCAGAGACCACATCGTCGCACATGCTTTCTGATGAGGCGTGACTTGCTCACCTTTTTTCGTGCTCAAGCATGGTTTGCCTGGTTAAGGTACGTTCTACGATAAGGCCTGACTTGTGAACAGTTTCCATGTTCAGGCAAAACTGTGCAACCCCCCTACTTCATTGCGTATGAAGGCGGCGCAAAATTTAAACGTAGCAGTAGCATAAATGAACAAGGAGTGGGTCTCTGCGACTCGATTGCGACTGCTGGTGGACATGCCACGACCTGGAAGGTCATCAGGGCCCCTGCAGGGGTCCGTTTTTGGTTGGGAATGGAAAGACAAGTTTGCACGAGGAGCCTCTCGAGGGCATTATGATTCTAGAAGGGTGACTTGGGGCCCGAGGAACAGGGAGACACTCCGGATATCTTTACATCACGTTATCACAAGGGGCAACGAATCAACAAAACCCTGAAGGAGATCAAGCTTGCGTTTGAATCAATATGAGCACTGCTGCTTGAGCCTCAGGCCCCGGGCCTGACTTGCAGTTTCTTGGACAACTTTGCAACAAAGAGCGGTAACCGAAAATTGTGCACAACAAAGCGCTGCTTCCACGAAGCAGAATGTCAATGTATCCTTCCCCGTATCCGCATCACCTCGTAAACATCCTCAGAAAGCTCTTCTCGCTGCACCACTCCATGGCCGTTGTACCTTGGATATTCCACTCAAACGAAAGGATCTTCAGTTAGGAGCAGCTCCTCAAGAGGCACATGCAGCTGCCTCCTTCAAGAGCTTGGTTGCCAAAGTGTGCATAACTACTTGAATATGACGACACGCGAACTTGCACATAACGCAAGCGCAGCGCGGAAGGGGCCCAGCAGGCGCTGCCAGGCCCCCCGCCTTCCAAACCCTCAAGATTCATCATGCCCACGTTCAACCTCTCCACGATTCGCCATTTCCCACCGCAACGCTCAAGCCCTACCACACTTGCCAGGTAATTCTAACCAAGCCAGACGCAAGCAACACGAAAGCGCAAAATGTCAGCTGCAAGCACGAGGATGTCAAAGACGCTGCTCACACAAACAGGAAAGCATTCCGTGATGCTCCTGCAAAACATCACCCATTTTTTGCTGCTGCGTTCCACGGCAGTAATCCTAAAAACTCGCATCAGAAACACCTGGTGATCAAAAACTTTCGTTCAGGGTCACAATGTTCAATCGGCCTGTGGCAGAATCTACAACCAAAGACAATGGCACTGGGTGCTACGCAAACAACACGTACTACCTCGTGTTTAAATGGGCGCAGAACTGTTGGGGCGCAAATTTAAGTATTCTTGTCGGGGGAAGGGGAAAGATGGAGGGAGGATTTGTCATCTTTGGTTTGAAAGCTTTACTTCGCAGCCCTTTTGTTTATTGGCAAGCAGAATGATCTGATCATGAGTGAGCCCACATCTCTTCTCCATGTCGGCTACGGGGTCGGCTGTGGCGGGCGCAGAACCCCCCCCCTTCGCAAACAGTGACCTGAGGACAAGTGTGCACACATCTCTTTACATGTGGCTTTCTGGACGGCAACACACCCCACATGGCACACTGCTGGAGAGAACAAGGTGCTCCCTCCACCAATTCCTCTCACTGCGAACTCCATCTTCTCTCTCTCTCTCTCTCTCTCTCTCTCTCTCTCTCTCTCTCTCTCTTCCTTCCACAGCACATAACCCCCGAGGGGGTCGTCCCGAGGGACGTGCTCTAGCGATCCAGTCGGAGGTGAGACGGACATCACAAGCTTGGAGTTGCTTCATATTAGAATGTCCTCCACTGTGCCCCTGTGTTGCTACTGTGGAAACGGTGGATGGGTTGCAAAGATCCCTTTCCCATACAATACATAGCAGCCCCAGAACCCACTGTTTGATTCCCATCCCATCCCACTCATCACGACTTCTACAGCGAGTGCACGAGTCCCAGGAAATATGTGAGATTTGGACAGCTGGAAGGGGGGAACACAATATGTATGCATGGTTTCTTCACTCCCGGGTGCACTTCGTGGTAGATGGTATGTTACAGTGGGGCAGTAGTCACCTCATTGTTGTTCAGGGTAAAGGTGGTCCACAGCTTGCCATACTTTCGGCAACCCCCCAGTGAAGGTGAAATCTAGACGAGGTTGAGGTGGGATCCCCTTTTAGTCAGCTTGGTGCTTCCTCCTCATGCTGGTTCAGTGTAAGGGTAAAGATGGCAAACAGCTTGCATTAGTTCGTACTGGTGATGTTGGGGATCTCCCTTCGTGACCTGTTCCTGGTTTTGGATACTGTCGGCTCAGTCACTTTCACTGATGCCTTCGTGCTCCCGTCTACGGCGATGATCGGGTAGTCGAGGACGACGTCGTGGCTGGGGTGGTTCCCGGTTGTTCCCGTTCCATTCATGTTCTCCCTTTCCGAAAGAATTTCCACTTTGTTGGCTTCTTCCATGTGAATTCCAGCTGCACAAACAACTTCTTGCACCGTCAGGATCCGGATATTTTTTTACGAACCCATCTCTCTCTCTTTTTTTCTTTCTTGGGGCGTGGGGGCGAACCCCCTGGCTGTGCGCCTGCCCCGGTATTCGGGGATCCTCAGTTTGCTCGGGGAGGTCGGGTCTCTCTCTCTCTCTCTCTCCCCTCCTCCCTCTTCTTCTTCTAGCAGCGAAGAGGCCTCCCAAGAGGGACTCCGGCGGCGACGGCCCGCTGCATCTCTCTCTCTCGCTCTCCCTCCCTCTCCCTCCCTCTCCCTCCCTCTCCCCCCTCCCCTCCCTCTCCCTCCCTCTCCCTCCCTCTCCCTCCCTCTCCCTCCCTCTCCCTCCCTCTCCCTCCCTCTCCCTCCCTCCCCATCTCGTTCTGATTCTGAAAGCGAAGCTCTGCCACCATGCGAACTTCAATGAAAAAATCTGGGTACTCAGTACCGAGCGTCAGTTCCGATCACAGTCAACCTACTCCCAGACACACCACAGCACACAGAGTCAATGGTCGATGCCTTTTGGAAAAATTCTTTGCAGTCGCACATGGATCCAGTCTTGAGCTGCATATAGCTTTCAGCAGTCATTCAACGTTGAGTTGATCACATTGGGCTCATTCAACGAGGTGTCGTTTTAACAACAGAAAACAGAGGACCACAGCACCATGCATGGGACCAGAGGCTGGCAGACCAGAGGACCAACGGGCCACAAAAAAAGTATCCCCCCCCAAAGATCCCCCAGGGCAAATCGAAGATTCTGGCCCGATGCTTGCCGAAAGCGCGCAGCAGTGTCCAAGAGCTTTCTTGCGAGAAATCCATTGAAAATCACAAGCCAGCCAGGCAACTGCGCCGTACCACCCCTGTATCCAGCCGCCTGGGATGGTTCATCCAGGCTGCTGGGAATTAGGATGGGCAGCCCAGCAACATACATGCCACAATAAGGGTTGCCGCCTTGTGGCGTTGGTTGTATCTGTATTTAAGGGCAAACAGTACCTTTTGCATATGTATGTATATGTACTCGGGTTTCTTCTAGGGATCTCATGGCCCTCCCAACTGGCCTGCCAAGTTTTGACAGCCAGGTCCTTGAAGGCAGTGGTCGGCAGCACGGTTCCGTTTGTTGTGAGAAGAACCTGAGGAAGCGCGTAACAAACTTCCATTGGCTACAAGTACAAACCCAACGCAGGAGTCTCAGTCTCGTGGGCATCAACTACAGCCCGACAATGCTGCAGACCATGCTCGTTCAAGCATTTGTGCGACCCCATGCAATCGAACCCTCAGAGCAATTGCTGAAGCGATTGCCATACCGTGTTGAAACCTTGAACCGTAAGCATTCCGATGAATTTCTGCCAGCTGCTGCACCGAAGGTCTTCAATGCATCTCCCGCTGCATTGACGTCGACCCCTGAAAGCTGCAAAACAGGCGTGAGCTGTTTGTGGCCCTGCTGCGAGAGCTCTTGCGAATTCAGTAGGTTTGCCTGCTGTTTTAATCATACCAGTACTCAAGGACGTCTCACTCTTTTCTCTCCGTCTATTGTCGATGCGCGCATCAACATTTCAAGAATGTCAAGGCAGGGCGTTCACAACTCAAAATGCCAAACCACTCGTTTGTCGACCTCTAGCGACCTTCCCATTGGCTCACGTTTGGAGAACCAAGTTGCTGTTGACTTGGGGCAGCGCCGCTGCATGGCAAGGTAACACTTTTCCCGATGCCACTGCCAGCCACCACCTCGTGGCTTTCCCGTGAAGGGGAAAGATTCGAAAAGATGATGCAACAACGAAAGGATTGCAGGGCACTGCAAATGCAGAGTAATTATGAGCAACCTGTTGGAAAATGGAGCACCACGTCCAGGCCGCACATGCTAGCTCCCACACTTTAAGTTACCAAATATTGCAAGAAGGTGTTAGAAGTCGTGTGTGTGCGCACATGTTTTTATCCTAACCGATTCAACTTGGTGAAAAAGAATTGGGCGAACGTGTTCGCAGGAAGCGATGCTTCGACATGCTTGACCCCACTTGATCCCTCCAATCCAGGATAGCCCTGAAGCCCCAACTGCCAAAGCGTCCATCGCATTCGCAGCATCGTTTCCTTCCTCGAAATCCTGCACTAAGTGCATGGCACATGGTCTGTGTTAGATTGACATGATATTTAGGGCTCTTCGAGATTGCCTAAGTGTGCGCGCCCAGTCCGGACCACATTCTCAGCATCATCATGGGGATCAAAGAAACTGTTTCCAGCGACTTCCACCAACCGCTTGCCCGACCCCGCAGTAGAAAAAGTTTGGGCTGGCTTGGGCAAAGGAAACCCGAAGTTTAGAGACACGGATATGCAAGAAACGGACCATAGATAGACAAAGATATAGATATACAATGCAACGAAGAGCCGCTGTTCGGCTCGGATCCTCACAAACTCAAACTGGCCCCCAGTCCCGACATCTAAGCTTCAATAGCTGGTCCACTGTTTCCAGGAACATGAGATAAGATGGAGAGTTCCGAACTTGCAAGTCGCTCCTCAAAGAACTTCGACTCGTTGATCGCCTGTTGGCACGGTGCGAACGACAGCGTTCTTGTATTGTTTTGAACACGTCCTACTGCAACACAACCAGCCAGGCCTTGGGCATGCAGCCATGCTCTGATGAGCAGGCGCGGAAGGATGATGTGCCTCGGCCTTAGAGGCCCTTCGCAAAGCTGTGAGCCGGGAAGCGATGAAGGCTCACTTTGCCAGCTTCCTTCTCACATCAAACGAAACTTGTTCGTCCGTTGTAGCGTTTTGGCATTCAAGTATCCCCGCAGCCGAGGATTTAGGTGCACAGGAGGGTCAGCCACCGGGGGGTCAGAGGCCGGTGCTGGAAGTGCATAAGAACTGTCAGGTGGAGCTCGGAGATTCTGAAGCGCAATAGACGAGGGGTGACAAAAACAAGCACGCGAGACAAACCAGGCTGGTTTCCGAAGCCTTCACCCCCAAATCGAGCGCAAACGTAGGGCTTCCCGAACTACAAACATGCGGCTCATAACAAGGCTGCACACATTTCCCATCTTCGCTTTGCGATGGCTTCCATTTCCACCATGCATGGCAAAGCATCAGTCTTGAACCCTAGTGCTCAGGATTAGCCTGGGCCAAGCTGTGCAACCGGGGACGGTTCCCCTGCAACAAACGAACCTCTGCCATCGAGCACAACCGGGCTTGCGGCGAGAAGCTGTCGTGGACATGGTTAATCTGCAATTTGATGGGCGGTCGACGGTTTTGGGGCGCTGGCAAGATGCTGAAGTGATTGATGGCGTCCAAGCATGACCGATATCTACCTGTACGAATTTTGCGTGGTAGAAGTTCAAAAAAGGTCCTTTAGTAACCAGATTTCAAGACAGATCCTACAATGCGATCAGACAGAGGTCGCAACCACATCCAACACATCCAGGAAGCATCTCTACTTCCTGAATGGAGGCGGGAAGTGTGCACGTGCATTGTAATTTGGCTTCCTCCGGACTTGCGTCGCTTTGGCACATGCTGCGGTCCAAAAACAATCCAAGATATCCTGAGTTTTACAAGGGCCCGGATCCTGAGAAAGCTTGTGAGACCGCATCGTAGCCATTCTTCGGGTAAGAAAGGATGTCAAAGCCGCAGGTGAGGCTTTGCTGGCTTTTTGCTCCGGGACGAATCTTGTCGCTCACCGGTAGGTGGCCCAGCTTGCCGTTGCACTCTCCGATCAGATTGCCGCTCAGCTTGCCGCTCAGTTTGCCCATCTTGTGCAGCTTCCATCGCTTCCTCGGACAAGAGGCAACCCTGTGAAACGGAAGCAGGCAGGAAGTGAGCCCAGCGATGCTTGGACGATCCTAGACACCTGACGTGCTGTGAGTTCGGGCCAAAGCACCAGATTCGAGATCAGGCGGCGAAGCATGGCTTTCAGGTCATGCTGGGCCTGCAACACAGTCCAACTATGTCCAACTTAGACTTACACCATCCGCAAATCCGTTCTTGAAAGTCCTCAGGCCACGCCGCACTGATACAAGCAACCGCAGCAGCAGCAGCAAAGCCTCGACTTCAGCCGTGTATTGCCTGCAGCGGTCCTGAGAGCTGGAGGCAAACCAAGGTCAGTTGCTCAGCAAGACACATCCTTCAAGGAGGGAGGGGGGTGGGGACGGGAGAGGAATGGGGGGCAAGGGAAACCGTGAAGGGGCGCGCCAGCGGGGAACCCCGTGGAAACCGAAAGCAAAGGCAACCTATGGCAACCTGGAAGGCATCTGTAAGAGAATAGGAGGACAGGAGAACCCACCAGAAGCTAGGGCGACAAAAAATATGACAAGCGTGGAGACAACACAAACAAAGGTGATGAGGCCAGAACTGAAAACAAACTGTTTGTGGTGCGTCTCTTTTGGGTGTCTTTGGCTCAGCGAAATCTGGTTAGCACTGCAAGCTTCCGTTACGTACATGTCATACGGATCTGCACGACTCAAGCTCAACAATTCCCAGGCATGGCACGGCGATCATAGTGATGCTTTGTTCCAAGCGCTTCAAGGGGTCCGAGCCAAAACCGGGCTTGCCACCTCGGCAATCTTCGAAATGTCGAAACGGCGCACTGGCGAAGGGGAAAGAGCAAAAGCTAGATGAGGTCAGTCTCGGAGAATCTCGGATAAAAAACACACCGTGAGCCCGTGAGCGGAGCCATATTCAGCCCCGGGACTTTCCACAGCCCGGCGGGAGGCCTCAGAGCTGTAACATTTGTGTGCCGATTGTTGCGCATCTTTACTTTGCGTCATACCGCGTTTCGGCTTGCCCTAGCACTGGCCTTGGCCAGCTGCGCAAGCTTGTTGATGCGCTCAGGTAGGTCCTCACCAGCACACCAACTCCGTGGGTTTAGGGATTTGGAACTGCAGCTTGTCACCCCTGCATGCTGCTTGATGGGCACCCTACAAGGCTCTAGCATGCACATCTTCTTCCAACGCCTCCAAGGACACCTGCCCACCTTCCTGGCTGTACCCTGTGAAATGTTGTGTAATTCTGTGGTCTGTTGCACTACAACATAAGGTCCAACAGTCAAACGCACGGGAAATTCATGAGGGTAATACTAAAATCCTGTGGATGGTACATGAGTCTTCGGTTTGGGATCTTTCTTTGTACAGTCGTTCACTTAACACACTAACCCTTTCCCTTTCCCTTCCTGCGGGATTCAATCTCAGGTTTGCACGCCAGGTTCTTAGTGACTGCGATCATGATATTGATATAAGTTCACGCGACACCGTGAGCAGCGAAGGGCTTCCGGCTGCGGTGGAGCAAAAGTCGTACCAGTGAGCCAAAGTACATGGTACAACTAAGCAGACCAAGCAGAACAACACAACAGGTACAACTACCCAGCTACCATCCTAGGCCCTCCTAGGCTCCTTGCCTGAAGCGCGTGGAGGTCCGTCGACTGAAACCGGTCCGCGAGCTGGCTGGCACCTGTCGGAGGCTACTCCGGTAAAACCTGCACATGCTCCCCTGCATGCTGCAATAAGTTCTCTAGAAAGCAACAAGGTGTGAAAGTGCTGTGCTTCTTTGAAGTCAATAGCATTTGCCCCCGAGCGCCTTCCTGGGCTTTCTGGGCGTGCGAGCTGAGCTCCTTGCGAACTGCCCTTGGCGTGGCCGAGGCTTTTTACTCTTCTTTTCCATGGACATGAATTCCTAAATCCCACACTGTATGTCTCCGAACATGGAGCGGTGTTTAAGAACAGCCTCGCCAGACCCCCCGGCCACAACTGCGAGCATCACAAGCAACACTTGATGGATCGGAACTCTGTTTGAACGAATTGCAATTCTCTCTGAGTTTTCTAGTCCTTTCTAGGCCGTAGAGATCTGATAGGGCTCGCACATCTGTAGAGGCTTCACTCACTCGGCGCACTTGGTGTCCAAGACTTGGGGCTCGCTTTTGGCTCCAGTGCGAACAACATGAACTCGAATGAGTTTTGCTCGCGCAGTCGTGGTGGATGCCTTGTCTGCGTGACACAGAGAAGGTTTTCGCAGGATGGGCCCAGGAAGTGCGGGCATACGTGGCTTGAGTTATCAGGAACACCCCCTCCCTTCCCAACCCGGATCCATGGTGGGGTTTTGGGTCCGTCCCCCCCCCCATCCCCCGCTCCCGCACGCCATGCGGGGGTTTAGGGTTCCGGGGCATAGGGGTAGCAAGAGAAAGAGAAAGAGAATGAGAAAGAAAAAGAAAAGGAGAAGGAGCAAGGAGAAAGAGAAAGAGGAAGAGGAAGAGAAAGAGGAAGAGGAAGAGGGAGAGGAAGAGGAAGAGCAACAGGAAGAGCAAGAGGAAGAGGAAGAGGAAGAGGCAGAGGAAGAAAAAGAAAAAGAGAAAGAGAAAGAGAAAGGGAAGGGGAAAGGGGAAGGGGAAAGGGAAAGTGAAAGGGAAAGAGAAAAGGGAAAGGGAAAGGGAACGGGAACGGGAAAGGGAAAGGGAAAGGGAAAGAGAAAAGAGAAAAGAGAAAAGAGAAAAGAGAAAAGAGAAAAGAGAAAAGAGAAAGAGAAAGAGAAAGAGAAGGAGAGAGAGAAAGAGAAGAGAGAGGAGAGAAAGAGAAGAGAGAGGATAGAGAGCGAGAGAAGAGAGAGGAGACAGAGCGACAGAACAGAGAGAGAGAGAGAGCGCACAAAGAAGAGGGAGAAGAGAGAGAGAGAGAAGCAAGGCAAGAAAAAGAAGAAAGAGGTGAGAGAGAAGAGACAGATGTAAAAGAAACGAGAGAAGAGCTTAGGGCTCAGGGGTTTAGGGTGAGGACTTCGGGAAGGCATGATTCCGAGGATCTTGTTGTTCTTCTTGACAAGGTTGTTGGGGCCCGTTGTGGAAGGATGGGTGGTGCAGACTGGTGAAACACTACCAGGTGTCTGCCAGGTGTCTTAGCCGAGAGCGAGATTCGGATGTGCACGCACACACACACAAACACAAAACAGAGATTGGAGCGCAAGTGGGCAACGGTCAAATCAATGCATGGTTGACCGTATGTACAATTCTGGGTGATAATGGAGCGGAGTCTGGGGGGAGGGCCGTGGGGGAGCTGGCAAATACCACTGCTTCAAGATTGACATGGCAGGTCAGCTATGCTTGCTTTCGTGATGCAGGTATTCTTGCCAACCAAGATTCTGCTGCTCCTTGTGGAAGTTGGCTGACTGCTCTTGAAAATTTCGCACCTCCTTCATGGTCTGTGAGACCTCGGCTCTCATCGCGGGACTAGGGGCTCGATGTGGTGGGATCTTGCTTTTCCCACTTTGCAGCAGCTCGCTTTGGCCCTCACTGTGGCAGCATCCTCGGCCTGTGATTCCAGCATGGCGTCTGCAAGTCTGTCCAGCGTGGCCTTGAGCTGCGCCTCCTGCATCTGCTAAGATTGTAAGCACATGGAGGGCAACCATGGGCGACTAGGACCTCCCGAAGCTGTTGTCGGTGAAGAGACGGATCGATTAGACAATGCTCTGGCAAAACATTGATGCCACATGTCACGCAAGGCATGCTACCCACTCTGGAAAAACACCTGGTGGATTCCAATTTCTCGATTGGACACTCAACATTTCCATGATAACTCTAAACAACACACTGCAACTCTGACCAATTGCACAGGCAACATACAGTTGCTCATGAGGATGAGAGTGTTGGCGCCCCGCATTGTTCATGTCCGTTCAGACCACGTCGCACCGACAGCAGTGCAGAAAAACTTGCAGGCTCCTTCGCCTGCTGCTCGCTTCGATCCACGACTTCTACAGGCTCCTGAGGCATGCTTTGCTGCTCGAGACAGTGTTGGCAGACCTTCCTGTTCAACATCCCATCGACACCCCACTCCGAACTTACAGAGCTCTGACACCCCAACATGTGCAGTGTACGTTTGGTCTTGGTGTCTTTTGGTTACTCCTCCTTGGTGCCGTCGATGCTGTGGCTGTTGACCGTCGCTTTGCTTTCGGAGTGAGGATGCACAGTCTGGACCTTGGATCCGCCACAACATGCACCGCTGAATGCCCGCACAGCTGACCTTTGGACAAGGCTGTGGCAACTGGGGCCGTTGCAGCAGTCGGCGCCACTGGCTGCACTTGGCCAGGCAGCGGATTGTCATCTTCCAGGGCCTCCCTGAGGGATCCCGAAGCAGCTTGCGAGACTCATGACTCACGACCGGATGCAAGCAGTAACAGTGGGTGTCTTAGCGGTCAGAAACTGTTGAGCTTAAGATTGCAGTCGGGTTCCCTCAAGGCTACATCTATATAATCTATTTATTGGAAGTCCAACTGTTCCTGTAATTATGCGAAAGTCTTCCTGGCCATCTTACCAGTCGGTTGAAAGTTTCGATGGTTCCTCCATGCTGGCTGGGTGATCTGGATCCAACTCTTTCTGTCTCACATCCCCTGCATCAGCGTAGAGCGATCGATATCGTTGCTCTAGCCGCTAGGTGCAGTTGCCGCATCTTATTGAGGCGAGTCGCAGCGCGGAGACTCGCAAGAATTCTTGCATTTCACCAGCGTCATCAGGGTCGAAGCCCGCCATGATACAGCGAAAGCGCATCTCTTGTGGCTTCTGACTTTCGGTTTTTAACCTTGAAGGCTCAGAAGCATGCAAAGGTGTGAAGTAGAGAAAGTCGACTAGACCACGTCTGTTGTAGTTGCAACGCAGCCAAGCCTTGTGTACCCAGGTTCTGCTACTAAGACACATTAAGAAGTTGTGAGAGTTCGCAGTAGGAACTTTTAAAGTGCCTTCCTTGCGTTACAAGGGCAAACTTGCAGAGCAGAGGCAGCAGAGGTTGCACGGAGCCTCGGCCTGCCCTTAAAGGGTCCTGAGACACCCCTCAGGAATCCTCGAAGCTCCCGAATCTTGCCGAACTTCCCAGCTGATCCTCGACTCATGTACCAGTTCAAGGTTATGTGGTTCGAATAATTCGTTTCCCGCTTCCTGCCGTAGGAGCATAGCCAGGATGCTTTCGGTGGTCTGAACCGAACGCAGGCTCCTTAGATCACGCTCACAGGGTTCTTCGAGGAGTCTCGCACCCCCTTCAACTGAGCAAACAAGCGATCCAAGCCTTTAACGTTACAGTCAAGGCGAAGCTGGCTCACAGGTTATACACCAAGGTTGATAATGATAAATCACCCACAATTATGCTTGCCTCTTTGCAGTGGAGTATACTTCTTTAAAACAAGCCGGCACCCCTCACCTGTGGGACCTGCCCGAACAGCTTGGAGGAGCCGCAATCCGATGCCGCGGGGGTTCCAGGCTGTGGACCCTCGCACAGAAACCAAGGAAAGCACAAAAGAGGACGCCGGAAATGCTTGAAAAAAAAACTGCGCCTGTATTGGCATTGTATTGGGCGTGAAGGTATCTCCAGCTTCAGCCTTTATACTTTGAAACTCCGAGAAAAAAACAAGCGCTGTAAAACACAAATCATGAAAGCTCACGGTTGTCGGCATTTGATTCACTTTGCGTAACTGTCGTTCATAAATAGGCTACACTAGAACAGCTGAGCCACGACGTCCGTGTCCTTGCTACCAGATGAAGCGCATCAAGTAAGGAGACTTCAACCTTCGCTTGTTCGGCGGATCTGAGACTCTAGGGACTCGTTGCTTCAGCTGGCAAGTTCGATCCTGACTACGAGCACATTGACCCAGATTGCGGGGTGTTGCAACAGTGTTCACTTGCAGCTGTCATGCCAATCTTTCTACAACTAGGTACCGGGGGTCTGTGCCTTGTCAATTCTGAAAACGTCTCAGTATGCCTCACGATGTCTCAGGATGTCTCGCGACGCCACACGATGTCTCACGACCCCGGCCTCCGAAGTCTTGCTGACTTGGAACTCACGCACATGGCGGATGATGTATTCCTGAGAATCTGTTGGCAACCTTCTTGCTTCTAAAAGGGAGCTGCATACAGGCTGCACAAAACTGCCTACAGCTGCCACCGTCCGTTGAATGCATGTGGTGTGGGCCCTTGAACGCACAAAGCATAACCTCGGCCCAGCGACGGCATTGACCTTCACTGCAAGAACACTCCAAAAACTTGTCTACCAGAAGCTACCAGAATTGACTAGAATTGAGAAGCTCAGGGTGAGTCATGCTCATCAATACAAATGAGGAGCACCATGAGTCATGAGATATCATGAGATGTCTCATGAGATGTCTCATGAGATGTCTCATGAGATGTCTCATGAGATGTCATGAGATGTCACGACAACTGCAGCACCCTTGCCTTGGACATGTTGTCCGATTGAAAGGCCTCGCAAAGGCTCTTCACTGTCACCACTTCAGCGGGGTGCGCGGGCATGTCCTCAGTTTTTTGCATTGGATAGGATACATGGTGAGCGGCATGGGTTTACCACGCCGTTGCAATCTGCTGCGTCATGCTCACAGTGAGCATCGAAACCTGCAGCCCAGGAACTCCATGTTTCTATGAGTTTGGGGGATTCCAAAAGGCTCTGGGCAGAGACTCCGAGCCTCCGCTTGCAGCTGCGGCTTCCGAGACACATGCTTCCTGCTAAACCCAGCGATTTGTCGAATTGTCCCTTCATGGATGCTGTGGGGCATTGGCCAAGCCGTGCTCTGCTAACGATTCAGCAACGAATCCTTCCACCACGGCCAGTGCTCAGTAATCTTGGAGCAGTGTAGTTCCGAGATCGAGAGGAAATTTTGAGAGGTAGGGAGAAGTCCGACTTTGTGAAATGTGTGGAAACACTTCTGCCTCCCAAGTCTCATCATCGATCAACCTGTTGATGGTGTACCATTCGTCCAGGAAGTCTTTCTTCTTTCGCCTCGGCACCGCAGCGTGCTGCAGGCAAATACCTACTCTTTTGCGGGGTTCTATGGTCCTGTGCTGCACTTGTGCTGCGCAGCACAGGCGCAAAAATAATATCTCGCTTTCAACTGCTAGCACTGCTAGCAGGTCAGGACGCCGGATGATTAGCTGCAGCATGTAGAGAAACAAATGGTCAAATCTTTGAACCTGTCTTCACAGGTTCAACTGTCTTGGCTCTCTACCGTCTGAACCAAACGCACACGTTTCCAGGCAGTCCCAAGCTGCATCTCCTTCACAGCCCGGCGAATCCTCAGGGAGATTTCAGGGTCTGGAGCGCATGCTTCGCATCTTCCATGTGACTGGAGCTCTGACCTCTTAAGGACGTGTGCGGCCCTGGCACTTCCAAAAACCCCCTGAACTTTGAGAGCTTGAAGAGCTTTGAAGACTTTGAGCTGTGGGTCTGTTCCACCACCGAGATGGGGTTGCCGGCCGCCTTCAGCGTCCGGCCGTAAGACTCCTTGGCGCTTCAAGGAAGGTATTGCTTGCCTTCTGCATCTACGGTCATCAATGTGGTTTTTAGATGATAGTTGCAGCTAAGCCCTAATTCCAAGCACATGGCCATAATTCTAAGTAGAGAGAGAGAGAGGGAAGAACAATGCAAAAAGACAACATGTAAATACGGCATCAGGGCCAAGAAAAGCTTTCCTGCAAAGCCCGTACATAGCCAATGCATGCAGCACTGACCCATGAATTAATTGCCCAGCCCAGGAGTTTCAAAGTTTCAAGCCTCCTATGTGTGAAGTCGACTCAGCCTGCTTCCCCCAATCATGCACTCCCAAGCAGCAAAAATCAATCCGAAGAGGATACCGAAGAGAAGGTTCAGCACCTGAGGGTCAAAGATGCCTCTTGGTCCATGTCTCCAAAACTCAAACCGCGATGACATGACGATGCACAATAAAGTATGTCTAAAGTGAAGAGGAGCGACTGCACGTGAAAGCAATCTTGCAAGTGAAAGTCCTGGACTTTCGCTGAGCACTGCGCCAGGAATTCGTATGACAAGGTGTAGGCATAGCCAAGTATCTGAGCAGCCGGAGGAACTGCCATCATCGCAATTGTTGGGGCTTGGTTTCCTGATTGTTGGGGGAGTACGCGGTCAACAGCGAGAAGTGCTTCAGCTTCCACATCGAAGCACACCGGCTGTGCTTCGGAACATTCGGCTGATGCTTAGGTTGAATTGAAATGTGCACATGTTCCCGGCAACAGTGAACGGAAAATCATGGCGAAGAACTCTCCCCAGCAGATCGAGATCCTCCATGTCTCCCACACCCACACCACCTCAGTTCGGCCGCATCCGAAAATCTCCAGCATGAAATGACGTTCAGTTCGGATTGCCGCGAACTTGACTCATGTGAGCGTGACATACATATGAAGAATGCAAAGTTAGAACTCACATGGATATGATATGCAGCATTATTGTACCAGGAGAAGTGGCTCGCGATCTTTCTCCCTCTTTGTCACGATCCGCCAAGGTCGGAGATGATGTTGGAGCACCCAACTCTGCGGAAACGAACCCTTGGGGCAGTTTTGACTCTTTACCTGAGAGCCCTCAACCGGCACCGGCATCGTCTAAGCTTTTCTGACATTAAAAGTGGACATCAACGTGCAAGGGCTGCAAGGGGTTGTGATGGCAGCACCGTTGCACACCACGAAGAGGCGATGCACAAACTGGACGAGTGAAATTGATCCCACTTCTGGGATGAACTCCCCCGCTGCGCTTTTGGGGCCTGCAGGTCTCATGTCGCCTCTCTTCCCTCTTCAACCATGTTTGTGCCAAACAGAGGCCCAAATGCTGCAAGATAGTGCTAGTGTTGCGGTGGTATATATGGTTTTCATCTTCCTTCCAGACTCCTGAAGCCCATCGAATCCCAAAACCATGTCAATGGTAGTGTCCCATGCTCATGCTGTCCAACGCGTAGTCGGGCTGCCCCCTCATGCACCCTGCATCATTGAAAGTTCAACCTACAAGCGTTGCCTAACCCCAGCCTGGATACACGAAAGGCTAGAGCCAGGGGACTGGACCACCGCCAAAAAATGGCGCCCAACATCCTTGGTTGACTTGGCAACATGCTGGGGGGGTTTGCAGCGGAATGGCTCCGCCACTAGCCAGATCAAAAACCCACAGCTATCTTGCAGCAGAAGATCGTGCTGCAACCCTCCGTGCTCTTCCCGAAGAAGATCTGAGGACAAGTGGCACAATGCGGGCAAACGGATTTTGAAGCACAAAAATGAAGATGGATCAAAATGGATCAACGTGGCATTCGCGTCAAGTCTCTAGTGCAAACTAAGCTGGACGCGTGTCAAGGCAAACTTGCTGATGCTGCCGAAAATATCGATACTGGACGGTACGGAGAAAGGTCGGCGTTCGTTGTCGTCCTGGTTGTCGCCTTTCCCTGCCCCGGCTCTTCTCCCTTTCTCGCTGCGCTGCCTATCTCCCTACCTTGGCCCCTCTCTCTGCCTCTCTCCATGCCCTCTCTCTGCCCTCCCCCTTTCCCCCCCCCTCTCTTCTTCCCCCTCCCAGCTTCCCCCTCCTTCTTCCACTCTTCCTTGCCCCTCTTCCTTCCCCTCTTCCCCCTCTTCAACTCTTTCTTCCCCGTTTCGTCGTCATCTCGTCGGCATCATCAGTGGGAACATCACCATCGTGATCATTACCACCATCACCATCTAAGAAATTCACCATCGAGATTAACATCAAAATCGTCACCATCACCATCTTGGACCCTGACCATGACCACGAGCATCACCATCACCATCATCGCAAGAACAACAATGGCAAGCATGGCCCACGGTGAAGCATGCACCACGTCCTTCCGAGATCCGGAGCCGTTGTTGTTGTTAACGAAAATGACGACAGACTGAGACCAGGAAGGTTGTCTAGACGCCACCCGTCCGGCTGCAAAGCAGCTCAAAGAATCTCCCAAGCGGGAATCAAAAAACGCCCATCGCCGAGATCCGGAGCCCTATGTACGTTTCGGGATCGACGATACCGGCGAATTCTGTTCTCACCAGGTGTGGGGTTGGGGCTCAGATTCGTTGGCGGAACCTCAACAGCCCCGGCGGCCACTCGATCTACTCGATCACCAATCACGCCACGCACGATACGGAGCAAAACATGGCCGCCGGAAGCAAAAATTCAGGCCAGCATGACTGGGGCCCTCACTCCCATGAACACGGCACCCCGCTATCAAAGCCTTGTTACTAGCGTGACTGAGGCACAGACGTGACCACTCCAAGCATAGCCTCGGCTGCTATGGTTCCTACACGGAACACAAGAACCTCACACCTCCAAGCGCGGTAGGTGCCAGTTGATGCACATCGTTTTCGGTGATGAACACGCCCCGACACGGCTGTTTGTGCCAGTCATCAGACTTATGCTTTATCGCGTGCGAAGGATATCCAGTGCAAATGTTGCCCTCCTCTTGGGCTCCACCCGACACCCCTGAACAAGATTGTCTGAGCAGGCAACTAGCGCCTTGTTTGCTCTTGGCTCAAGCCGACGAGAAATACGTCCGAGGAAGTCAACTTCACTATGGTTCCGTCGGCAGTGTGACCTGTAGTCGCCTGTCTGACCCAGTCTGGGCATAGATACCGGTTCTACGCTAGCAGAATTACTTTGCGAGCCTTTGTATCAGCACTTGCTGTTCATGCTGCTAGCTAGGCATCGCCCAACGTTCCAGTCTGAGTACAAGAATAGCACTGTGGCAGTAGGGCTCTCATGTGTACCTTGAATGAACAGCAAAGGCCAGCGGCACAAGAAGATTGTCAAGAACACGATGCCGAAGTGGGACACATCCTGGGATTGCATCTCTGGAGGAGATACAAAAGTGGTCAGGTCAATATAACAACATGCGAAAGAAGAGATAGGAGGGGTTCCAGGCCCCGCGTTTGTCACAGGACCGCTCTCCAGCACCTCTTTGGGGTCCAGGCTTCACAGTTTCCCATCTTCTTCTAGGCTAAGGGATGACGGGTTAAGGGTCCAAAAAACAAGGATCAACAAAAAAGGGTATCAAAAAAGAACAAACCCTAAACCCAATACCCTATACCCTATACCCCGAACCCCGAGCCCTAGACCCTCGGTTGTTGCTTTTTGATCATTTTATACTCTTAGATCCGGCGGTCAAGGGATGAGGGCTCAACACCTTTCCCACCCAACATCCCCTTTCGTGATTTAGAGTTCATCGTCTCCTTCTTGGGTGTAGAGCTTTGCACCCAGGTTGCAGTTCAGGGTCTGTTTCTGCTTTTGGGGTTCAGGCTTTGGGCTTCAAAGCTAAGGGCTTGGGTTCAAGGGCCTAGGCTTTAACATCTGATAGTTTTGCCACCCAGTATCACCTTTTGGGTTTAGGACTTCCTTGTCGAGGGTTCAAGGGTAGCATCCCACCCAAGCAAAAGAGATGGGTGCACGCTCGACCGGAATCGCAGGTGTGCGCTCGAAACATTCGCCCCTACACTGCCCCAAGCACCGAGACCTTGGCTGACAGTCTGAAGAAAAGCACGTGGCCAAGAAAAGTCATGAGCCCAGCAGCATTTAGAACACAGCCGGGACTTCGGAAGCTCGTGGAGGACATGCTCAAGAAGAGCAAACACAAACCCCGCAAACCGCCTCTCGGTCATTATCAGAAAAGTGAGCAGGCTGCACAAGTCTGGCCGTACGAAAACTTGCTTCGCAGTTCGGAGAATCTGTAGCAGGGCAAGGGCAATGCACCGTATCTGATATGTGGTTGACGTCCCAGAGTCTTTCACAGAGCCTGACAAGGTTGTGATGACCACGTCCAGCTGAGCGTTTGCTTTGAAGGACCTTTGCTGCACGGCAAACTGGAACAAACTGGAACAATCTGCCTCGGCCTTCGGCCAACAGGCGTCTGGAACAATTCAGGTCTGGTCTCCTTCCCCCCTCGCATTCGCACCTCAAACAACACGTCGGGAAACCCCCGTGGAAACCCCGTGCAACCCCCTTGAAACTCCACCGGATCCCCTGAAACCTGTTTGCCAGCCAAAAACCCCTGTGGACGGGTGGGCTGACTTTTGCTGCCTCCTTGGCCTGAGGACAGCTCCCAACTACCCAAGCTTCACTTGGCAACAAGCCCACGAGCACCCTACTCAAGCTCCACCTTGCAGCAAGCACACGAGCACAGACAACATGCGCACCGGAGGTTTTGCGCAGCCTGCCGACATCAGGCCGGTACTGGTAGTCACGCCAAACAAAGCTTCAAGGGTCCGCCAGCAACCACAAGCATTCAAGGCTTCGGGTTTGCCGGTCGGCCGCTCCCCAGTGTTTTTTCTCGACCCACGGTCGACGGTCATGTTCTGTAGTTGCAGTGCGGACTTAAAACACCGTGGTGCCCCATCTAGTGGTTTGGGCCAGCCCGGCTGCTGAGGCAGTGTGCGCAAGCGTGTGCTATCAGAAGCATTGCGTGGGGCCAGGAGTCTTTGTCCCCCCGGACGTGCGGGCGTCGCGTACAAACAAAATGTTTGTATCACGATTTTGGAAGGAAAGGCTGCGGGATTGGAGGGGGTTGCCGCCCCCACCCTAACCTATCATGAAAGCATTGATTTTCAGAATGCGGGACCTCCCCCTCCCCCCCCACCCCCCGCTTCTCATGCCACCGAAAGGAATTGCCTCAAATGCCCTACAAACCCTTCCAAACCCATCATGCGAGCATACAAATTGGAGGCCGCGAACCCGCCGTTTGGCTTGCAAGACAATGCAGGATATTGCAGCAACTTGCGTGTAGATTTCAGCGGTAGGGCTGACAACGAGGGATGACTTTTTGGGTTTGGTGTTGAGGGTGCTGCTTTTCGGGCATGGGACCCTGTCTTTTGCTTCGTTCGGTCGTTTTGTTTCTGTCCTTTCCGTTTTCTGTCCGTTCCTTGTTCCGTCTTTTCCTTGTTCTTTCCTTTCCTTTCCTTCCCTGGTTCCTTTCTTGGGTTGCTGATTTGTTGGTTTTTTGGCTCCTTGGTCCCCTGGAAACCCAATGTGAACAGGTCCAACGATGTTTGAGTTGACAGACTGATGGATGCCACGTGCATGTGGCTCAAGACTGGAGCAAGGCACACAGCTATCACAAGGGCTTGTCCACAGATTGTGTGCGCTGTGGATTGGGGAACTGGTTGATTGCGCGTATCGACACTGACACTGAGTAACCAGATCGTGTGCTGAAATCTTTTCACGGTAGCGGACCTTCGGCTCCAGAATCCAGAGGACTGAGAGAGAATGGACTTCGTAGTGAGAGGAACTGGTGAAGAGATCAAACTGTTAACACCACCAAGGCACCGTGGAGGATTAGAGGCATGGGAAGTGCGGTCGTGAAGCGGTATGCACCACACGCTCAACAAGCACCATCACTGATGCCGTGAACGGACTGGAACATATATGCTGGCACAAATCTCTGACGGGCGTGCTAGATGGATTGTTGGAAACGAAGACAAGAAAGTGTTTGAGACTTGGGGAAGACTGCTCAAACAGTTCTCGCTCCCTGCAAGAGCGAGGCCAACGAATCTCATGAATGAGATCATTGCGTTCAAACCGTGGCTTGATCATGTCGAGAGTGACCCGAATGAATTCATCATACTGAAGAACGAGGTCGACTGGATGGATACTTGACTTTGATTTTGAGGTTGAATATTCGTCACATCAGCACGTTGAGACCGAAGTGTTGGAGATTGTGTTTAGTTACATGAAGAATAGGCATCTCACTGCGCCGAGTGCCAGGAATGATAGAGGTCCAGTCCCAATGAATATTGGAGCAGTCAAGAATGAAAGGAAAAGGAAAGAAACGAAAAGGGCTCAGGACTTATATAACTGGGGAACATCTACTTTCTTAAAAACGCGACCTCGGCATGATGATGACTTAAGATGTTTACTCTGAGTTGGCTAAGTAACTTACCACACTTACAATATAACTTAGCTTTAAGTGCCCTAACTTACATATAAATTTCTTAACTTCTTTCTATTTAGGGGCACCACACTGTAGGAAATGCCAGGAAGCATGCTCTTCAGACGTGCAAAACCCAACAAAAATAGAGGAATTCAAGAACAACATGCTCGGCGACTATGCGTGATATTCGACCACGTCATCGGTGCGCCAATTCTATCATGTCGAGGCATAGTGGCACGCACCCTAGCGCTGCTAGTGACTGCTAGCGGATCCTTCTAGGCCTCAAAAACTGATTTCGAAATCTTTGAAGCCTCGGGCGCACTCGGAAAGATTTCTGTTGGAGTTCAACATGCTCTGGTCGCACGTTGAAGGCTGTGAGGCCCGATGAGCAGAAGAACGTCCTGTGAACCAGCGTCAATTTAGAGGCAACAGCCCATGGCTGCGAACGAACGCGAATCCTGCGCAATGTAATCGGAAGGAATGCGGGCACCGATGAGCCACAGCATTCATTCAGGCATTCCATTCACTGCTCGTAGAGCTGGCTTAACTTGGAAAGCCACGGCATCCCACTCATCAGCAGAAGAACTCGGTGTTGGAGGGTTGCGCCCGATGGGGCGACCTCCTAGGGCAGGTCTCCGTTCCATGTTAAGACGAGTCGCAGCTCGGATATGCGCAAGAACTCTTGCATCTCACAGACTGTAATTCCAGAAGATACTTGGTCATTTTCCCTTCAATCCATATTCATCCCGGCTTATCATTTCAAAACTTTTTTGCTATTCTGCACTATCGTGTTTATCGTTTTTTTGCGCGTTTTTGTCACTTCTTTAGCAGCTCCAAAAATGCAAACCTTTTCATTGTTATCATTTTTGCATCATGTCTCTTTACCTTTTGCCGGGAGCTGCCCGAGGGTCCCGGGGCTCCCGGAAGCTCTCCGGAGGCTCCGGGGATGCCGAAACGCGAAGCTCTTCATTTTGTTATCATTGCTTTATCATTTATTGTACATCTTGCCGCTCCCGGAGGCTCTCCGGAGGCTCCGGCAGGCCCGGGCACGCCAAAATGCGAAGCCTTGTCATTTTGTGTCATTTCTTATTATCATTATTGTATAGTTTTTTTACTTTTTGCCGGGAGCTGCCCGAATCTCTCCGGAGGCTCTGGCAGGCCGCGGACGCCACAACGCGAAGCCTGTTTTCAAATTATCATCATTGCTTTATCATTTTTGACATTTTGCCGGGAGATAACCAATGGTTCCGGGGGCTCCCGAATGGTAACAAAATGATCAAGACATGATAACATAACGATAATGCACCAGGCTACCACAGCTACCCCAACATGACAAATATAGTATTTTTCACGACCTCAGTCTGTGGCTGCAAGAACCGAATAAAGTTTAGCCGCGTCTCCAGCGTCTGTAATTGGTTTCCAGACTGTACTAGGGGGCCTTGCGGGGCCTGCACTTTAAGTTGGAAGAGGTTACAGCCCGAATGTCGATGCACATGCACAAACTGGAGCTGGGCAGACAATGCATTCGCAAGGCTTTGTTGGGCGCACAGGCCCTGCTGACGTTCTCTGAGGGTGATGCCACTGTACATGTGACACACGGGACATTGAGTCTTAGTATGCTTTCCGTGGTCAGGTGCCTCCCAGCAAAAGGGACCTGGCGGTTGAAGAGAAGACTGATTTCAATGCCAAGGAGAATACCATCGAGACACTGCTGCCAGCACGCTTGGCTACGTCTCCCAGAGTCCATTGGCGAGAGACTCAAGCTTGGAGCGCTGGACTTGACAGACAGGACGTGTTGACAGGTGAAACTGTCAGTTTCAATGCGTCCCCTTTTCAGCCTCGTCGCGCAAGACTGGCAAGACACAGAAAAGCCCATTGCACAATTTGCCACTCTGTCAGAGAATGTCTTCAAGAGCGATGCTCGAAGGAGTGCCTTGATGCTTCGCGGTCTTGTCTTCGCAACGAAAAACGGAGAAGCCAAGAGGCATTTTGGATCCCTTGGATGCCCCGAATTCCCAGATAATGGCCGAGATTGAAGCCGAAAAGGTACTTCAACTGGCAGCGAAAATGGGATTGATCCTGTTGTCCCCATACTGACATGAGAGGTGCTTGCCAGCCTCGTGGGAATGGTTGAGTGGATGCGAGTGGCAACATTGTTGCGAAATGCGACAGAATGCCGACTGAAGTCACACGACACACAGTGGTTAAAACTGTGCAAATGAGCGGTGCGCACTTGGATCGCGATTGCTGCACTTGGGACCAGCTCTATGATGACACTAGGCCGCCGATTGCAATTGTGACTGCGTGGAACACGTGAAAAGGCCCAACATCATCATGGAATGATCCGCGCGGAATGCCAAAGGTATGAAGTGAGACCAGGACTGAGAGCCAGAATAGTTTTGGAAGCGCGAGGCAGACTGCCAGAATGCTTCGGCCGATTGAGCTTTCATTTTTGAAATGTCGAAGAATCCTTCTCAGTGGATTGCTGAATGCGGCTTTTTGGAATTGTACAAATTCAATGTGTGAGGTGCAGACCGCATGAGTGACACTCGC